ACGACGACGACGACGGCGAAGAGGACGACGTCGATGAGAACGAGTCCCCGACAAAGCCCATAACAATTCCTCCGAAAGAAGACAAAAGCTCTCGCGGCGACTCGCAGGAGAGGAAGCGGAAGCGATCTGCTGCCGCCGCCGAACTCCAGTCAGACCTGGAGCAGCCGGCTAGGAAACGCACGGGATCAATATCGGCTGCCGATGCAGACGGTGACGATCATCTTGCGGCTGCCAAAGACGACGCGACACCCGCCGCCATTGCTGTCCGCTCAGTTCGGTCTGTTGCGGACGACGACGAGGCCTCTGCCACGAACCAAGACACGCCGGCCGAGGACGAAGCTCTGGAGGTGCCAAGGAAGACCAAGCGTAGCGGCTCGAAGCGGAAGACGGTCGTTTCGGATGATGCCGAGAGCGAACCCCCGGCAGAAGCCCGTGACGACCAGCAAGACCCCGCGCTGGAGGAGGAGCCCGAGCCCGACCATGCCGAGGAAGAGGAGGCAGAGCCCGAAGCTGATGAGGAGACTGACGCGGCAGCGCGCAACCTCGAAGAACGTAAGCTTTCACCCTCCTGAGCCTTGTCAGGTGTGCCACAGGGCATGTGCTAACATGGAAACCCCTCAGTGGAAAGGAAGCAAGCTGCCTATCGAGACTGGACGCAGATTGAGGAAATGTTTGGCATTTTCAGGGATCGGTAAGTGCCGGCTTCTTCCTCCCCACTCGTAACGGCAATGTGCTCATACCTTTTGTGCAGGCTTTACAAGGATAGGCTACAGAGGCTCGAAGAAGAAGAGCAGTCGCTACACGCTCCAGAGCCCACGCATCCCGAGTACCTCAACATGAAGCAGTGCCTGGATGACCGACTGGAGCAGAAGCTACGGGCCATCAATACCGAGCACGAATACCGACTCAAGGCTCTCGAGCGGCGCGCCGTGGCCACGAGAGCTCAGATCTGGGGCCAGTACTTTCAGGCTGTCCGAGAGAAGCGCGAGCATGCTCTGGAGGCCCTCAACAGGCAGTGGTACGATGTGCAGAGCGCTCGGCGGAGCGCGCACAGCCTGCCAGACTACGGCCTGCTGTTCCCCAAGGATCCCGCGCAGCGCATCAGGAACGCCATTGCCTACAACACCGAGGTGTCGACCCTCGCCGGCCTCGCCAAATACGAAGGCTTCCCAGCTGGACCTGAGCTGCAGGGGGCATCTACATCCGAGCTGGAAGCTGACCTGGCCGCCATGGAAGTGAGTGAACTCTGTCTTGCGAAGAATTTCCACGATTACTGACTTTTCCCATCAGCGGACCCGACGCCTGCGGCAGAAGCCCTCAATAAGTCACATCCGAGAGGAGTACCAGCCGCCTCACCTGACCCGTCTCGACCCTGCGGGAGAGCAATTTGTCAAAAACACACCTTGGGCGAACCCGAACCACTCGGCCCACAAGCTCTACCAGCACCACGCGGCTGCGGAAGTCCGCCCTGAGCCCGCCGCTGCTGCCGGCCGAACGCCGCAGAGTGCGATCCCACACTCGACTGATCTCAAGGCGGCTCTGGATGGTCCAGGAGCCGTGCGATCGCCCGCTCACTCTGCACGGCTATCCGAATCTCCCGAGATAACGCGCAACCTCTTGAACCCGTCTTCTCACCAGATGAAGCGGATGAGCAGCATCTCAGGACTTGGTCGCGGATCCAAAGCGGCCGCGGCTTGAGGGTCGCCTCTTGCGTTTTTGACGATGCCCGATATTCGAGAGTACGCCGCTGACCTCGGCTATCGGTATGAAGATTTCTGCGTTCGGACACTTAAATGATACCCAAGACCAGGGCTTGATGTTGGCTCAATCAATGTAAAAAAGAAGTGCGGCCTCTGTTTTGTTTCCCATCACCCCCCCTTTCTCTCCCCTTCTTCCCCTCTTTTGTCTATGTTTGTATGCGGATTTCGATCTGGGGGATTTGCAAGGATTGGTTCACCGGTAATAAAGATTCAACGGCGTTATCACGATCTGGTTTCGGAAGGCTGGCAATGGCGGCAACGGAAATGTCTTTGCATGGCAGAAGGGGATCTTACTCTGACTGTACAGAACTGGCGGCTTTTTGTTGTTTTTTGTACTCTTCTACACACTTTTACAAATTTATATAAGGCGAAAGAGTATTGTTGCAGTTGCGTGCCATTGCGTGGATTTTGTATGTGATGCATAGGTAGGAGAGTCCATCCCCGGTGTCTGGAAAGTGAATAGGTATATAGTACACAGCATAAAAGCTGACGGATCGTGATTTGCAACACCCAAGCGCCCCATATTGCCGTCGTAACGGTTTTCCCTCTTGTTGTTTCCATTCGTTATTGCATGTCCTCTATTTTGCCTGTCGAGGCGCATCCGGAACCTTGACGTCCTCAAAGTCGTCCTGTCCGACAGCGTTAAGGGTATACCAGTCTGTAAATCAGAGTTAGTCGCCTCGATCCGCAGGAAATTAGAGAATATCGCATGAGCGGGGCAAGTTGCAAAGCACGTACAGACTCCTCCGACGAGCGCAAACAGACCGAGGCCGGTCACTGCATTCTTGAAGAGATATGGCCGTCGAGCTCGGACGAGGGCAGGGCCTTGCCGCAGGCGCCGGTCGTAGTAGGTGGAATGGGATCTAGAGTTCGGGTTCGTGTGTGTCAATTGCGCCGTCTTGTATATGTAAGCGGATAGGGTATGTAATTGGGAGAGCGTACGCCATTGTCGTGTATGTGTGCGAGGAGCTGTGCTGTGCTTCTCGTGAGAAAATACAAGCTCAAGCTGCCTTTGCGGAATCGGTTCGCCGCTGTCAAGGATCGTATCATGCGCCTGCGAGTGGGATGAGGTGTTGGAGACGACATCGCCGGTGCTTCTCCGGCTAAACGTGCTCTACTGCATCTTGCTGGGCCCTGTGGTAGCGCTGTGACACAGAGGCCGGTAGCTGTCCTTTGCGGTTTTAGCGTTTTTCGACAGGGATGCAGTGATTCTGCCGCCTTGGACCCGCGTCACGTTCCCGTCGCCCAAAGCTTTTGGCTGAAGCTTCTTGCATCTCGCATCTCAGCAATTCGCCCGCCAGATCCACCGATAACAAGCATCTCGACAAGCGAACAAAGAAGAGCGAAGCGGATCCATATCGAGCGTATCTTCATTGACGGGCGCTCTCTGTGCGAAACTTGCTGCGACGTCCGTGTCACGAAGCCTCGACGACGAACGATCTGCGGCAAAGGGCCTGGCGTGGGAGCTTTTGTTGCTGCTGATTTAAGCCCATGACGCTTCGACTGGGAGAGGAGAGAAGATCAATTACTGTTGCGGTAGTCTAGCCTGTTTGTCGCGCGACCTCAAATGCAGCATCGTTCCATCTCACAGCGTCTTCTCCTCCCCGTCTGATGTCGTCCCGCCTCGTCGTGCCTTTTTCCCTCGCCCGCGCATTGAAGACAATCCCCCGATAGAGAGACACAAACAGAGAGAGGACGTCTCGCGAAAACGCCAAGAAAACAGCTCCGACGTCATGGCCTCTTCGTCGACGCTCTCGGTGCCGGACCAGATCCGCCAGCTCAACGACGCCCGCAAGCTGGTGCTGGGCGATGTAAAGTACTACCCGAGTGTCGTCAGAGGCATCCTGCCCATCGTCGGGCCCAAGGCGCCGATCGAGCTGCGGCGATGGGTGACGGACTTTCTGGCCGAGGCGTTTGCCACGCCGGCGCTGCCCAATTCCGAGAAGGAGACGATGCAGCCGTATGTGCTGACGACGCTGGAGTCGCTGATTGAGACGGAGGTGGATGCGCAGGTGCTGCGGAACGTGATCCAGGCGGCGGCGAGCATCTACCCGCTGGCCATGAGGTGGATGTTGGTGCTCCTTCTTGTTCTTTTTTGTTTCTCCCCTCTCTTCGGCCCATATCGCATGTAGAGGGCGTATCCATGACTGACTTGGCAACCATGGCAGCATCAACAATAGCTACGATACAGTGACGTGGGAGAGGATGGTGAGCATCAAGCACAAGATCCTGCAGCTGTGGGACAACGTCCCTCCCACGGTGAGGATATGCTGCATCAAGTTTGCCCAGCGAGTGGTGCTGGCGCAAACCGTCGCTTCTGGCGCCGAGCACAGGGTAAGATGTTACAATGCTGTTGCAAATCAGGATAAGAGTTCTCATCAAAACAATGTTCTTCTTCTAGTATGGCGGTGGCCTAGATGTCTCGCTGGACAAGGTACCGCCCAACCACCAGACGCTCGATCCTAGAATTCTCGAAGCAGAGGCAAGTGGGCTGTTGGACCGCATGTTGAGTATCCTTCAGGGCAACAAGTAAGTTTCGACGCGGTTCCGGTTCCTGGCGATGCATAGCCCGTATACTCACCCAACCCCAGCGATGGCCTTCTAGTAGATGCGACTCTGAATTGCCTGTCCATCATGGTGCGGACTCGCCCCTCCACATCCAGTCGCATCCTCAATGCATTGCTCAGCTTCAACCCCCTGCAAGCAGCCAACTCGCCATTGACCCCAAAGTCCAAGGTGATGATCAAGTCCATGGAGAAGACGGCGCGGCTGCTGTTGATTCACCTGAGTAAGCGAGACCCCCACAACCCAATCGTGCCCAGAATACAGCAGCATGTCGAGAGCACAATGCGTATGGTGGCCGAGCTCTTCGACAGTGCCGGCCGCAAGAGACCTCTGGAGCCCAAGCCCCAAGACGGATATGATGCCAAGCGCCAGCGGATCGAGGCCTCCCAGATCCAGATACCCCCCTTGGGCCCTGGCCCCCATAGCCTGGCCGATGTCTTCACCCTCATCGGCAACGACGGACTCAAGTACTTTGACGTCTCTCAGGTGCCCCACAGCCTCGTAGCCAGAATTGCCGTGAATACCCTGTCCCGGTTGGATGCCCAGGTCCTCGCAAAGGCTGTAGATGGTGTGCGCGGCCGGCTGGAGACGCTGAACAATAGCCCTCCCGCGGAGCTGAATCCAAACACTGCTCCCTTGGGCGTGGACGAGGACGAGGACGACTACGAGCCAGATTTCTATCAGGCCGAAGACACGGAACAGATACTGAACAAGCTGGACAACGCCCCGGCACCGGCTTCGGCAGAACCCAGAATAAGCCTGGATGACACCTTGGGGCTGCGATCCTTCAGCCTTCCCCAACCGCAGCCGTTGACGCCAGAGACGGCCCTCGCTGCAGGCAAAGCGACGGTGACGAGCGTGCTGGACATGATGAAGTCCCTGGACGAGCCGGGAACGAAGAAGCAGAAGGCGGGATTCAACCGGCTTGCAGCCAGCTCCGAGAGCAGAGACTCCTGGATGACCATTCTGACGCGGCTCGCAACCCGGTCTTCAGCCGGTCTCGAGGAGATTTCGGTCAAGGACGAGACGGAGGACACCAAACGACCGCCGTCCCTCAACAACAGCATCCGGGAGATCCTCTACAACTACATCATGGAAGACTTCCGAAAGCACATTGACGTCGCGGTGTCGTGGCTCTGCGAGGAGTGGTACAACGACAAGGTGCAGCTCAGGGCCGGCGGCGACCACCCGACGTACTACGAGAAGTGCACGCTGCGGCTCATTGACGGCTTCCTCCCGTACCTGCACCCGCAGGACAAGGTGCTGACGCGGTTCCTGAGCGAGATCCCCGAGCTGAACCGGGCGATCCTGTCGCGGGTGAAGCACATGTGTCGGGATCCGAGCGTGACGCAGCTGGCGTTGACAAGCCTGTTGTATTTGGTGATTATGCGGCCGCCTGTCAAGGAGGCTGCGTTGGACGTTGTTCAGGATATATGGACGGATTGTATGTTCCTCCCTCCTACCTTATGTGATGTACCTATGTTGTTGAAGAGGTCGGAACAAAACTAACTGCAGGCACAGTCGAAGATGCTAGGCCTATGGCGAGCAAATATCTCAGCAAATACCGACCGCAATTCCTAGAAAACGCAACGAAAGAAAACAACGAGAGCCCGGCGCCAGCACCAGCAGGGACCGCCATCACCACATAGACGGCGGAATAACTGTCCAGCAGTATATATCCGAACAGAGGCCAGATCTTTACATCTACGGCTGAAAAGCTGAGATTTCGGCACTTTTAAAGGAGGCTATAGGGCGAGGCGAACGTGGACAAGCCTTTGGCTGAGAGCTTAGGAAAAGGGAAATCATGGGAGAGTGCGTGGCCTAAGCATGGTTGGACAAAATAGAGACCGCGGGACAGGGACTTTTTTTTCATCAGTCGTAATAGCGGCGTAGAGACTTGTTGTATGAATGATGTATCGGGCAGGCATTGTCGGTTGCCGTGGGACTACAAATACAAGAATGGCGTGGATATCAGCATATAAGAGAAATGTCGAGGATGGTTTACGGGAGCAAATGTTGCCATCATATCGGATCTGTTAGTAGAGGGACCATGTCGAATTTCGAGAGGTGCATATACAAGGAATGCAGATGAAGGGTCTCACGGAGGAATAGCACTTGGTAGGTAGCTATTGGAGATACAAAGTAGACCAGGAAGTCGTAGACAACTACCTTATCTGGGAGACGTCGGTATTGGTCGTCTTCGTTCACATCATGACGGAGCACCATAGGTACCATGAGGTGCTGGATGATGCCCATCTGCTCGTACACGGCCTTGCTCTAGTAACCCACAAAATCCAACGGTGATCAAATCTCATCTACCCGAGGCTCTACGGCTCTCACCTGAACGAAGCGAGATTTGTTCCCAAAGAGAATACTACAAGACTTGTTGAATTCGGGTAACCCTGCATGGCTTATTTCACTTCAATGCTAGCGCGAGACGTTTAGGTACAAGTTCCTCCGTAAAGACTACGGACGTTGATATCGGGCAGATGCAAGGAGAGAAGAAAGGGACAATGAGGGGTGGTTCGGTTCGGGACGTTCATCTGCGGGGAGAAATGATTGATTGATCTCGCTTGTTATTTTGTCGTGTGGGTTGCCCGTTCTCTGACATCATGCTGTAAACACTGGGTGTGGGATGCTGGCTGGTGTTCTATTGGAGTTGCTGTCCCGCGAGGTGCTTCGTTGCCTGGTCAGCTTTGTTGAATTCCGTGCATCCGGCCCTGCAGTGTGCATCCTTTACATGGACAAATCATGGAATTGAAGACGCAACGGCGATGTGTAAATATGTAAATATCTACTGCATGATACGTGAAAGCCTCAAACAAAGGCCATGCGGAAATCTTACCCTCGACATTGGAATTGACTACTACCTACCGGGTACAGAGAATGAGACAGAAGCGGTAGAGACAGGCCCAGACAGAATAGCGTGGGCACAAGGGGGGAAAAAATGATAGGGAAAAACAAAGAGACGGCTTGGGAGGGGTCTTTTCTTTGCTTTTGCTGCGATTGGTGCAATCGTGGCGGTGCATTTGTGTGTTGATGTTGTTCTGCCTTGCCTTGCGTTTCCTTTGTTGGGTGCCATTTGTGGGTTTCCCCTTGTTTACCAGTTTTGGAGGGACCACGACGTCGTAGGTAGTAGTAGTACTATAGTAGTAGTTGGATGAATAGAATAGAATGCTAACCTATCGAGGACATGACGTGAGCTTGTCCTGAGACTAATCGGTCCAGCCCGTATGTGCAATCTATCCTTCCAAAGACACATCAGGCATACGTAGTCTATATATATCCAGGCGTCCCTCTTATCCTCCATGAGTGATTGACATCCATCCCCAGCTCGGCTCATCTTACAGGCCAATGTACAACCCCAGGCTCTCTCTTATACCTCCCTATACTATAACCCAACGGCACGCCTTGTCCGCTTCCTCCCTGGCTGCTGATTTAGAAGGCTGAAGCAGATTCACGCATAAGACGAACGAAACACGGCCATTCCGAGCACTTGAGACACCACTGAAGGAACGGGTGCAGCAGTTCTCCAGACGATTCGAAGGAAGCGACAGACAGACATGCCCCTTCGCCGGCTGCACGAGCGATTCTTTAGCCTTCACCAGGATTCACTGCAGAACAACGGGATAGACAAGTATCTTGGTGGGTGATGTTCTTCAGTTTCTCTCTCTTTGTCTCTGTTGTTGCTTCGTCATTCTCTTGAGATCCCCTTGACAGCCCGGCTGCGCGTTCCGCATTGCTCGCTCATTTACGCGAGAGCGAGCGAATGCTGGGCCCCCCCGTACCCACCTCATACAGTATTTCATCTTACAGCACAGCACAATTGCCTGCGCTTCCATCCAGTTATTTCCTCCGTAATAGACACAGTAACAACTGCTGGACGGCCGTTTTACGTTGCCTGGACGGGACCGAATCACAACACACCCGAACTGCTTACCTACTGTACCTCTTCCGTCGTCCACGTTGTACATGCTTTTGCTGCACTGTCCTGCCCTGCACAAATCCATACTCAAACAACCACCGGCTTTTGCTCTTCAGTACTTTGCACCACCACCTCCAGTCGTTCATTTCCCTTTGATTTGTGCCCCGAATCGGCTGCCTCACAGACTGACCTGACCGCTGATGCGAACCGCCGCTGGCAGCCTCCCATCCCGCCCGCCCCTCGCTAGATGATTCACCAGGCACGAGGACCTTAACACCAGCTTCCGCCGGCACCGTCAACGCCATGCCGAGTCGCGCCGCCTCCGTGTCCAAGCAGGCGCAGGCCCTGGGCAGGACGGCCACCATCCGCAGCGTCCCCAGCTTCGAGGGCTCCGAGACGGGCCCCGAGAGCAACCACGCCAGCGGGCTCTCCAGCAGCGTCACCAGCAAGGCCAGTAACCTGTCCACCGTCGTGTCCGCCGCGCCGGCCGAGACCGAGACGGCCAGGCCCAGCCCCGACAACACCCCGAGAGAATCGCCCGAGCAGCACAAGTCCAACGACGTCAGCAATGGCCACAGCGCCGCCGCCGCCGTTGACCCCGAGCCTGCGGTCGCGGTGGCGGTCGCGGACCCGGCGTCGGTGCCCCTGGAAGACAACGGCGACGAGCACGGCGACAGCGCGCAGTGGGACTCGACCATTGGCAAGGCCGGGCTGGGCAAGACGGGGCGGGTCATCAACAAGCTCGTCAGCGACAACGAGGCCCTGAAGCGCGAGATCAAGATTGAGAAGCTGCGGGCGGAGGAGGCCCGGCAGGCGGCCAAGCTGGTCGAGGACAAGATGGAGCGCATGATCAACGACTACGAGAGCCGGCTGCTCGAGGCCAACGTCACCAAGACGCTGCTTGCCAGGAAGGAACGGCAGGTTGAGACGCTGCTGGCGACGGTCGACACGGAGAAGAAGAAGACGGTGGCGGCGCAGGAGCTGGAGCGCAACTGGCGGGACGAGATGGAGAAGGTGAGGCGCGACGCCAAGACGCAGGTCGACGACGCGACGAGCTACGCCCAGCTCATGGAGGGCCGCTACAACGCCATCTCGTCCCACTGGCGTGACCAGGGCGACGAGGTCAACAAGGCCATCTGCACCATCAAGACGGAGATCAACACCATCGTTGACGAGCGCAAGTCGGACGACGATAAGATCCAGACGCTACGGGACTTGTGCGAGCAGCAGGACAGCAACATCCAGAAGCTGAGGCGCGAGAAGGAGGACATTGCGCGCCTCTTTGAGGAGTACAAGAAGGCGCAGGAGGACAACCTCAGGGACATCAAGGAGAACGCCAGGAAGACGGAGGAGGAGCAGCAGAGGATACTGGAAGAGTCCAGGGAGACGCTGCACAAGCTGAGATGGGCGCTCAAGGTCAAGGAGAATGTCAAGGGGGCTGAATGAAAGCTGCCGCTCCCCCTCCCCCCCGGCGACTACTGCTACCTCTTCTCCATCCCATCTTCAGCCTCTTTCTTTCTCCATCCTCTCCTCTGTCACGGCTAACAATTTCCGTCTGGGTTCTTCCTCGTTCTCCCTTTGGCGTTGATCTTGCTGTTTTCCGAATCGATCTTGTCGGGTGCATTCTTACGGGGACTCTATGCTCATGGCTTTTTCTGGTTTTGCGTTGTCCACATCCCACACGTCACATCACCGACCAAACGTGTAGACACAGCGGCTTTCTATAATGATACCACTTTCTCTGTCTCTCCCCCCATCGCCTTCTATCCCCTCCATCCTCTCTTTTCTTCGACTATGGTTTTATTTATCCCTTTCTTCTTTCACTCCCTTCATTTATGCTTGTTTCTTTCTGACTTATTGTTTCTTTATTCGTTTCTGTTAATTACATAGAGAGAACGGTCAGTTGGCTTTGGACAGGATATGACAGTCTTTTTCTACACTTTCTTCACACCCCGTCTCACCACTTTTGTTATTTTTTTTCTGGCATGCTAGAGAGCGGCTGCTTTCGCAATGCATATGGCGTTGGATGCATTTGAACCAAGAAAGAAAAGAAGAATAGAAGCTGAATGGTGCATTATCTCTCATGCTTACGCTGTTTGTCCTGGCGGCTCGCCGGTACCGCGAAGAGCCTTGGAGCTTGAAGATTAAATTGCGATTGACTTGCGAGGGAGAGAGAGCTGTACTGCATAGAAAGAGAGAAAAACGAGGGCTAGATATGTGTAATAAGAGAGGTTAGAAAGACGAGGAATACGAAGATATACATACGAGAGTTGGCCTGTGTTGTTTCTCAACGTTCTGTTCTAGTTGTTGTGGAGAAGCTGGTGTGTTGTAACGTTGTCTGCTGCCTGTAGAGTTGGCATATGGCTCTATGGTCCAGCTTTTGAGGAAATGAGGACATCAAGTCAACAAGAAGCCCGTAGATATCACCGAAATTCTTCTTCTTCTTCTTCTTCTTCTTCTTCTTCTTTTTCTTGCCTGAAGCTCTCCCAAATCCTCGGAAACTGTGGGAAATTGTATACAAAAGCAGGCAACTCCCCGCCTCGTCCAGACCACCCTGTCCTACCTATTCACAGACGCTATCCAACTGCCCATATAGCATCATGATCCCATCATCTGCGAAGCCTCTGTCTATCATACCTTACCTCATGCCTTTGACAACTGACTGCAGTGAATGGCTCTTCAGCGTAAATCTCAACAGTTGCGGCGGTCAGGAGTTCACGTGCTGGCCCTCCCAGCTGCCACCCGTCTGGCACCTGCCGTGCTACTACGACAGCCATATATACCGGGGCCCTGCACTCTCGGAGACTTTTTCCTTCCTTCTGGTTCTTTTTCCTCTTTTGTTTACTTCTTCACCTCTCTTCTTCTTCTTCTTCTTCTTCTTCTTCTTCCTTCCTAACCCCCCCTTCCCTTTTGTTTTTGACGATACTGGCAGAGTCTTTCTCGGTCTCTCTGCAGACCCTCGAGACGAGATACGGCAGTGCCGCGAAGCTTTCCTTCTCGCCTGCTCTTTTTTCGGAGTGCGACTGCAGACTATCTGAGGAATATTTGCGAAATTATGGTGTCCTCTTAGATGATGCCATGAGCGTTCCTTATTATTTCTTGCGTTGACGTGCTCCGTTCTTGGGTGGCGTTCGACATTGCCAGGCTGCTGCGGGTGCCAACATCCTCCTACTGCGGCAATATCTTGTTTTCTTGATCTTGATTACCTGCTTGAGGCGTCACTACTAGGTATGTTTATAATATCCAAGCTCGCGATGACTTCAGGCACATAGAAACGTATATGCTGCTGCATGCGTCTAATATGCCCCTGCGCTCTTTGTCTCCTGCATCCTGCCTTTTATAAAGAGATGTGGCATATCGGAATACTGACGATGGGACAAGTATCTGTCTTGGTTCTCTGGAAGCTTGGCAGTCTCTTGTTGCGATTCTTTCCACATCATGGCGGAATCTGGGATTGTGGAGTTCTACATCACCTGCAATCCCCCTTTACTCGCGTTAGGCGTCAAGGACCTCGTTGAATCTGTCAAGTTGGCATGCCAGGTAATTACTGCAACATATTGACCCCCAATGGACTCAACTAAAACCCCACTAGGATGAACTCCTTGAGATCTTGCACGAGCCGGACATACCATGGTTCAAGTGCATCACCATGGCAGAGCATCAGCACAAAATCGCCGATACTATCCAATATTTGATGCACGACCTATTGGACGCAGAAGTCGAGCAGCTCAAGTTCAACGCAATAGAGGACATTGACGTCGAAGAGGGTTATCTACATCCAGATGTCTTGCAGAAAGTCCCAGAAAACCCCCGCGTCATGGCGTGGCTGTTATACAAGGCTCTTGGAGAGGACATCTACGATACCTTTGCAGACCACCAATTTCCGGTGACTATGGCCAATATTCCTTACAAATCGACTTGGAGAGGACTCCAAAATTCGAGTGGTGTTCCCATAGACACCCTACTATCTGCGTTTTCTCTTCTCTCAAAGTCCAAAGACGCACCTATCACGGTCCACGACTTTGCCTTTTCCACCAACTGCGAGATCTCGTACAACCTCAGAGGAGAGTTGATATATATCGGATCTTGGGAATCAATGGAAACTGTCGAAAAGACAGTACGCAAGCTCAACTCGATGCTGAATCTGCTGGTATGTACTCCATCTATCCTCCGTTGCCGCAATCCAGGCGTACCTAGGGTTTCTAACTCAAAGACAGGCAAGCAAACCTCAAGTAGCATCGCATATCCTTCTTCTTGAGGGCCAAGCATCTGTCAGACTGACATTCAAATGGATGTCTCACGTTGGGCTAGCTCGGGCCACTTTTGCTACTCCATCTGGTGACACGGATATTGCAACCGAATACAAGCTGCTCTCCAATGCAGCTATCGTGAGGACTGAGACTTTGGACAGGCATGGCCGTTGGATCCCTGATACCATTGTCTATCCGTTGAAAGACGCACCGCCGGCTGAAGCTGAACCGGGGCTCGTCGCCTTCAAGGGTTACGTCCCACCTACCAAGAAAAGAGGCGCCAAGATTCGATTGCTCCATGAATCGGAAGTTGTGAAGGAGCCAAAGGTCATGTCGCCAGCTCGGACAGAGACCTTGAGTCCACTTCGCGAACCTGTACAAAGCGATCAAATGGCTCATCGCGACGCGCCGGCAAACAGCCTGAAGCTGACCTCTCCTGTGCCGGCTTATAACGATCAAAGCATAGATCACCATCAAGATCTCGTCGATGATCAGGAGCTTTTGGCTCAGCCACAGCCGCCTGCATCTGCTCTACTCTCGCCCGAATTGCCTAGTGTGGAGGCAGTGATGGGATCTATGCGGCCACTGGCCAATACCGAGACCGAACTTGTGCGCAACCACAGGCCATCGGCGGCCGGAAGCTGCATTTTGGATTGGGAAGAAGAAATCCATTCTCAGTTCACGATGTCCAATCACTGCAAAGGTGATCTTCTCATCTCTCAGGAAGACGGAATCCAGCCACAGTTCCCCTTGCCCAAGCACTACGAGGGTGATCTTCTCAGCTCTCAGCAAACTGAACTTCAGCCTCAGTTTACGATGTCAAACGACTGCGAAGATGAGCTTCTCATCTCTCTAGACGAGCCGGGTGAGGGGACCCTGAGTGGGAGCGGGCCAGCTGGCAGTGAGGTCCCGAGCACAGTCACGGAACTTCAAGAGTTGAACGATAGACTTGTCCGCCTGGAGCAGTTCAAGAGTTCTAATGATGATTTGATATGTCTGGATTATGATGAGCCACCGACTCAAACTTTGACCCGCGCAAAGTCCGTTTGGGGCACTTGCGACCATGACCCTATTGGCGAGAGCAACCCTCTTGAAGCTCAGGAGATAGATCTAACGAGCAGAACCTCCGATGGCTCGCTGAGCTTTGGACTAATGAAAGAGGAGCCAAGAGAAATGTTCCGTACCATGAAGCAGAAGGGAGGCCGTGCAATTAATCCTTCGGGCAAGGCGGCCCCTTCTCCTAAAGGAAACAGTTCTCGTGCCAGGCAGGCACCGACAAAGAGGAGCCAAAGCATTCAATCATCGACACGCCGCAATTCTTCAACGCCGACAGGGCCGAAACAAAAACCAGAAGTGAGTTCACACGACGAGTTAACGGTCACATGCTGACAGATCCCCTTCTAGTTTGACTCTGATTTCCCAGCCCTCGTGAAATCGCCCAAGTCGCCCAAGAAACATGCACCGAAGCCATTGCTTTATGCTGATGCCGCCAAGTTACCAAACACGCCGCGTTCAACGACTGGTGGGCCACTACAGAGGCCACCACCCCGGTTTCCCGGTCTGGGTGGCAGCAGTATTCCGCCGGCATGGGCCCCTGAGCCTGAAGGCAAGTTGTCCAAGGAGCCAAAACTGGAGAATAATCATGAAAAAGACGGCCACCTGCCTCAGGAGAAGAGCGATATTCTGAAAGAAGCGGAGCAGCAGCTCAAAAGGGGGTCGCAAATTCTTGAGCTCGCTCCTGGCTATGTCTCTCTGGAAGTGGTGTTCGGCCGCGTCTACATCAAGAAGATGGCTCCAGGATTGGTAGACCACAGTGGTTCTGGTCCAACTCACTCAGCCGAGGACGTCCTTGGATTATTAAACGGCACAACTTTTCGGCAAGACTGTATCGGATTCTCTCCTATCCTCTCAACATCAGCCGGCGATGCCAATACGCTGGCTAACATTACGCCGTCGGGGGAATCCCCTTGGCACCTGTATGAGAAGGAAACCTGGTTTGACTTGGAGTGTGTTTTTTACGGACCAAAAGGCGAGGAACCCGTGATTGTCGAGTTGAATGCAGACAATTATCAATACCGCGTCCGTGGCCAGCGCCAAGATTTCTTCGCCATTTACCTTCACTGCCCGCAGAGAGCTTGGGACATGAAGGCCTGCGGAGTGCGAGCAACTGCGCTGACACCCGAGCACAAGTTGAAATGCTTTGTCAAAGATATTGTAAATCAAATGGATATCTTGTAAGATCATTAAAGTTGCCCGTGAGCGCATGAACTGAAAACAACGAGACTGACAAACATCTTTTTGCAGAGCCGACGAGAAAGGGAAGTTGAGAATCCAGTATCCAGACTACGGCCGTACACGGGAGATTGAGAGCATCACCATGCGACAAGTTGCCCGATATCGCCATGGGAAGAAGAGGGATAGCAGCGTCCTCACAGTCACAATGACATACTCAATGGAAGAAAGCTCGTCGACGGACAAGACCAGGGGCGCAGAAAGGCTTCGAGTATTTGCCTGTCCCAAGAGCTCGATGAACAGCGCTCTTCCCCATCAACACGTTGTGGCAAGCATAACATCCTCGCGGTTGAGCCGGTATCTTGACAAGAATGTCAAGTTGGAGTATGGGGACAAGGCTGCGTGGGACGCAGACCAGCTTGAGAGCGAAAACGTGTTTGAGGACATGCTTAGGCCGGCGTTTGGTATGATTTCTCACATGGACCACATTGGATCGTCGAATGACACGATGAGAGATACGAATGACCTGGATGCGATTCATGACGCACTGGTGGAGTCTGATGCGAAGAAGAAGAAGTGGGCGTTTTGGTGATGTGGAGGGCAGTGTTCTGCAAGAGCAAATGGGCACTCTGCTAAATTAGTATGGACTGTATCTCTGGAGGAATGTGGTGAGATGATGCTCATGAACTGCGGCAGGGAAGGACATGCTACTTGAGCACCTGTTGTTCTGTGGACTCCTGATATTGATAGCATCAAGGATGTTGTGACCGAATGGTCGGAAACTAGACAGCATCAAAAGTCACAATAGTCAAGTGCCATCATCATCAATTGCACACGGGAATCTATCCAGCGGAGAATGGTGTAAGGTGATGGATGGGCTGTTTGAACACCCCTGTGGAAAGTAAACAAGCACAGTGTCTGGCACTTTCATTGAACTGGGGCACTTTGTATTGGCACAACTTGCCGGAATCAAGCGCAAGAGCTATAACCTTACTCTCGCACGCATCCAATTGCCTGACTTCTCTTAGATCCTTCACAAGTCACCGCCGTCTAGACCAATAAGTTAGGGCGGGGTTGATACACAATACACTGATTCAAGGTCACAGTCGCTTCAGCTTGTCCAGTTACCATCCTGCTTCGATGGGACAAGCACTTCTCGGGCTCGCAGCAGGCGTGCTATGCCTGGCACTTTACACGCTCAGGCTGAACTGGGTGCTTTCGCATACGCCCCCGGAAGCGGCTCACCACGCAGCGGATCCGCTGACGAAGGAACATATTCGCGATGTATTTGAGAGGGTGAAGAGGGATGGGATTGACTGGGTGGGAGAGTTGCCGCCGAGGAAGGATAGGCGGTATATCGTGGTGGGAGGCTCTGGTGAGTTTCTGTTTGCTTTCTCCGTTTCAAGATTGTTCCTATATGAAGATGTGTGAACTGAAAACTGATGATGAACTCGTTAGGATTACTTGGAGGACAAATTGTTCTGCATCTCTTGGCCATGGGAACCCCGCCTGAAGCAATCCGCATAGTAGACGTCCGCCGCCCGTTCACCTTTGAGGAGCAATTCTGCCATGAACCAGCATCCAAAGTGGCCGTTGTGCAGACTGACATCACCGACGAAGCGGCAACTCTCAAGTCATACGAGGTTCCCTGGCCAGAAGCTGTGGCCAACCTACCGCTGACGGTCTTTCACACGGCGGGCGTGATCCGGCCTTTTGAGCGGTACGCAATGTTCTACGAGCGCACATCAAGGGTCAACGTCACCGGCGCGATGCATTCACTACAGGCGGCGAAGAAGGTCGGCGCGAGCATCTTTGTGTATACGTCGAGCTCGAACGCGGCGCTGAAGCAGGTCAAGTGGCTGTTTGCGCCGTGGGCGAGGAGACAGCAGCCTCAAGGACTCGTGCAGCTCTTGGACAACTCGGATTTCTTTGAGCCGCTGAGGCCGCCGACTGGGTATCCGACCAATTATGCGCGGAGCAAGGCCGAGGCCGAGAGGCTCGTCTGTGGTGCGGACGAGCGAGTTGCTGGCGCGGGTAGTAGTAGTAGTGCCTCGAGGATTCGGACTGGTGTGATTCGGCCCGGGAATGCGGTGTACGGACATGTGAGAGACAATGTCGTGGGGAGGATGCTTGGATTGAAGCACTGTCCGACGTGGGTGGCGGGGAATGTGCAGAGCTGGTGCCATGTGCAGAATGCTTCGCTGGCGCATTTGCTGTATGAGGATGCGTTGTTGGGGGATCACGTCGACAGGGTTGCCGGACGGCCGTACATTGTGACGGATAGGGGGAAGCCGTTGCGGTTCGACGATGTCTACCGGCTTCTTGATACGGCGAGCACGACGGGCCTGAAGGTGAGCTATCCACCGCCGGTGCTGATGCTGGTGCTCTGCTACCTGGTGGAGTGGTATGCCTTGGTTGTGAACATGGTGCCGAAGGTGCTGCAGAGGTGGGTGAGCGAGCCTGGGGAGCCGCTGCGATGGGTCCAGCCGGGCGTGTTTGCGACGGGGCTGAATCGTGTTGTGGACGATTCGGAGGCGAGGAGGGGGGTGGAGGAGGGGGGCATTGGGTATAGGGCTGGTTGTTCGACGGTGGAGGGGATGTGTGAGATGGTTAGGGGGTGGAATGAGTGGATTGCTAAGGGGCGATGATGAGGATGAGTCGAGGTGAGGAGGAGGAGGATGCAGCTGAGCTTGATGTTGATGCTGTTTGTGGAGTACGGTACGTGAGGGTTGGTGTGACTGCCCTGGTGGGATCGTGATGCTCATGGGCAGCACGATCTTTCCGGATCAACATTGGAGGAGTCTTTTCAATTACTCGAACAACACGTAAAATACCACCAACAGATTGCTGTGTATTTCCTTACAATCTGATGTGGCTTGTCTGACTTGATCGATCGTGTTAATAGTACCAAGCATCATCATCATCACTCACATAGACCCTCCACAGCCGCGATCATGCACTAGTAACATCAAATCTCACAGGCACCGGCCCCTCCTCCAGCTTGCAGATCCTGGGGTGCTTAGGCTGGCGCCACAGGGGTTCAGGAGGGGGGGATTCCCGCTTGCCCACCTCGGGTTTTGCTTGAATCCCGCCTCCACGTCAAAATGTACTAGGTACTGCTACTACTAGGTACGTACAAGCACTCAGGTACTATACCTGAGTGACGGCCCATCGTCGTATTCGGGTTTCTGTTGGTTCTGTGTCGTTCGATTCCTTCCGCTGTCAAAGTCAACGCCAGTTCTTGGCTTCTGCATTGATTCGAACCCCCACGACATCTGTTAGATCATCTCACAGAATTGCATCGCATCGCATCGCATCGCCCTTGGTGGGTTGGCCAATGATTGCGCTCTGGTCACTTGCTGCGCCGTTTCCTCTCACCGGGCTTCTACATCAGCAATAACTCTTTTGCTAGCAGAACACCGTCACTCTAAACCAAGAGAGAGAGAGAGAGAGAAGAGGCGTTGTCACGATGGCGTTCGGCATCCTCGAGCCGAGCTCGGGGGAAAAGGTCCCAGGTGAGGGAGAAGCAGCCGCGGCACCTTGTTGATAGACAGCAGCGATTCGCGAATCTTGCCATGTTCCCTAGACGATGATGGACTGACGATGGCCTCTTCCATCTACGTGTGATAGGCACGACGCACTTCTACAATGACCCTTCGCAGCCGCAGATGGCGACGGAGCAAGACGCGGCCAGGCTCAAGTGCGACACCAGCGGCAAGACGCCCATCATCCTCGTGCGTATCGCTGCCTAGGAATCAACAACACTGAGGACCTCAACCGACTGACACTCCCACCGCAGGTCCCCCAGCCCTCGGACGACCCCAACGACCCGCTCAACTGGCCGCTGTGGAAGCGCGACCTCGTCACCTTCGTCCTCTGCTGGGCCGGCGTCCTGGCCACGTCGCTGGGCCCCATCCTGGCCGCCAACACCGTCACCCTGTCGCGTCTCTTCGAAAAGACCTTCACCAAGGTCGCCCTGCTCACCGGCTACTTCCTGCTCGGCGCCGGCGCCGCCGCCATCTTCTTCGTGCCCTCGGGCCGCGTCTGGGGGAAACGCCACCTGTTCCTGCTCGGCATCCTCGTCATCGTCGCGTCCAGCGCCTGGGCCGGGTCCACGGGCACCAACTACGGGAGCTTGCTGGGCGCGCGCGTGCTCCAGGGCGTGGGCACGGCGCCGTACGAGAGTCTGCTGAACGCGGCCGTCGGCGACATGTACTTTGTTCACCAGCGAGGCGTGCGCATGGCCTTTACCAACCTGGCCATCTTTGGCGGCGCCTTCTTCACGCCGATTGTGGTGGGCAAGATCACGGCGGCCATGGGGTGGAAGTGGACGTTTTACTTTGTCTCCATCTTCATGGCGGCGACGCTCCCCGCCGTCTTTCTGCTGTGTCCCGAGACGGCGTATCGACGTGACACCAAGCTCAACACCGACACCAACGCCGAGGCCGAGGACGAGATCAAGCTCCAGTCGCGCATCGCCACCGTCAGCAACCCGCCGTCTGACGAAGACGAGACGCCCAAGCAGCGGTCCGGCTTCGTCCTCTTCCCTACGTCGCGAGCGCTGCAGCCCATCGGCAATGCCAGGACACCCAAGAAGTCGTTTGTCGAATCGTTGTCCCTGTTTGATGGGGCCAAGACCGAAGAGCGCTACTGGGTGCTGCTGCTCCGGCCGTTCCCCCTCATCCTCAACCCGGCCTTCATCTGGGGCTGCCTGATCCAGGGCACCATGATCGGATGGACCATCTTCATCGGCGTCCTCGTCGCCGCCATCTTCATCGGCCCGCCGTACTTTTGGGGCGAGGTCAAGGCGGGCTACGCGTACACGGGAGCCTTTGTGGGCGCGCTGTGCGGCTTTGCCATCTCGGGCCTCCTCGCGGACTCGAGCGTCAAGTACCTGACGCGCAAGAACCACGGCGTGTACGAGCCCGAGTTTCGCATCCTGCTCGTGATTCCCATGCTGATTGTCGGCGGCATCGGCTTGTTTGGGTTTGCCATGACGGCCGGCAATGTCATTTCCGGCGAGTTCAGCTACATTGTGCCTCTTGTCTTTTTCGGCTTCGAGGTGGCCGGCATGGTGATTGGTGCTGTTGCGAGTTCCCTGTACATTGTCGACGCTTACCGTAAGAAGTCTTGCTTCTCTTGATGGTACAGTTGAGGACTCACATGCATCTTATAGGAGACCTGACGATTGAAGGCTTCACCCTGATGATTATCTTCAAAAACATTTTCAGCTTCATCCTGACATTTTTCGCCTACGATTGGCTCATCACTGGCGGCATCAAGCACACCATGATTGCCATCTCGATTGTTCAGGTCGTTGTCTGCCTTGTCAGCGTTCCGATGTGTATGTCTTTGTCCTCCATGTTCTTGCTTGATGATTTCGAGTTTTTTATGATGGCCCACTAATGCTTGGACAATGTAGATGTGTTTGGCAAGCGCTGTCGAGCGTTTTACCATCGCCATGATCTGCTGGCTCTTACAGGCTTGCGATGAGAGATTTGCCTCTATCATGTTTTCTATCAAGCGCGTGCGAGCGTCAAGGTTGCTCTGTGGGTGAAATGCGTTTACATTGATGTCTGCTCTTCACAAATTTCTCTTGTTTCATGTGTGGTTCTAATGGAATGTCTAAATGATACCAATCGGCAACGGGTGTTGACGGTGTATGAGATTATGAGTTTCTTTATTCAAAATTGAACCAAGATGTCTAGTAATTGTAATGGAAGTCGTGGAAGGGGAATTCAGGTTATCAATATCATAGGGAGAATCCAATCCTATTACGCTTGGTCATATTACGCCCCCCCTTTTTTTTCAAAGTAAGATCATTGACACGCACTCAATGAGCAGGCGGATGTTATGGCTTCACATATTCTCTTCATTGTTTGGGTATATAAACTATTTGCTCCATCCTTTCACCATATACGGACCAAAAGGGACCTTTTCCCCCATCGAAATCACGCCTTGGCAGCCGTCTCACCAGCGCCTCCCGCGCCCGCGGCCCCAGCCAACGTCGACTTCTTGACCACGCGCAGGCCGCCCAGCAGCAGGACGAGGGCCTCGAGACCAAGGATGACTCCGAGGGTGACCATGGCGCCGATGACGCCGGCGACGGCCCTGCTGATGCCGTTGCCTCCCTTGCTGCCGTCGTCGGAGGACTGGCTGCTCGGGCTGCTGGCGTCGGTGGAGTTTGCGGCGCAGGAGCCGTCGGTGTTGCCGCAGACGGTGCACCAGTCCTTGGTGTCGGCGACGGCGAACTTGCCGATGCCGGCCTTGAAGTCGTTCCAGCTGATGGACGTCTCGTTCTGGCCAAAGAGCGGGTAGGCCTTGAGGCCGTGGGCGGCGGCGGTGCCGTTGGACCAGAGGAAGCGCACGGAGAGGTCGTCGGCCGAGGTCCTGTCGGCGGAGGGGGCGACGAGCTCGAGGGCCATGGAGGAGGCGTAGTCGCAGATGCCGTAGAAGTCGCTTGACGCGGCGGGCAGCTGGGCGAGGCCGAAGAAGGCCATGAAGGCGGCGTAGGCGCCGAACTGGACGTTGAACTTGGGGGCCGAGCTGGGCTTGTCGACGATGGCCTGGAGGGCGGTGAGGATCTGGCCGGCGAGGACGGAGCCGGCGATGGCGCGGGCGGGCTCGCTGGCGTTGTAGGCGAGGTTCCACTCGTGGGTGGAGGCGAGGTCGTAGAGGTTGGTGAGGGTGGAGTTTGTGAGGAGGTTGGAGGAGGGGATGGAGGTGTTGTGGATGTTGGCTACGTTGATGTAGTCAAAGACTGTGATGAAAGTTTTGTGAGTAGGGTGATTCTATGAGTGAGTTGAGTGAGTGAGTGGGTGAGTGAGTGAGGGACCTACTCGTGTAGCCATTCTTGTAAGTGGCCGTGGAAGAGTTGAAAGTGGTGTTGATGACGGGCAGCAGGCCCTGGTAAAAGTCGTGCGTCTGGTTCAGCGTGGCGAGGTACTCGGGGGTGAGGAAGTAGCTGTTGGAGCTGACGACGGCGTTGCCGCAGCCGCTGCTGCCCTGGAGCCAGGCGCTGCTCTCGGAGCCGGCGGAGCTGGCGGACGAGGCGACGGCGTTGACGGGGATGTACTGGTAGCCGCCGAGGGGCGCCTCGACGGTGGTGCCGTTGCGGAGCCGCTGCGAGCCGGCGGCCCTGGAGGGCGGGTAGAGGCCCTGGGCGAAGACGGCGGCCGAGTTCTGCAGGACGTTGTCGACGGGGGCGGTGATGGCGAGCTGGGAGAGGACGGCGGCGTCGGGGCTGATGCCGGCGATGCGCGTGTCCGCGTTGCTGGAGCTGGAGTCGGAGTCGACGTAGCGGGAGCGGTAGAAGGCGGCGGAGGAGGCGACTTGGTCGGCGCCGAGGGCCGTCAGGTTGACGGGGGCCCAGGCCTTGGCCGTGCGGTCGCCGTGGCGGTGGAAGACGTAGACGCCGAGGACCTGCTCGGCCGAGGCGGCGGAGGCGGCCGAGAGGGAGGCGAGGAGGAGCTTGGGGAGCATTCTTGTAAGATGGAAGCTTGTAGTAGATATACCTGCTACTTGTCTACGGGGGTTGTGGGAAGAATGAGAGCTGGAGGTGTGAGGGATGGGAGGAGGAGGAGGGCGTGTGTCTGGTATTATAAGCTATTTATTTATATACCAATGGGCCAAGAAGAAGCTACTGCTCAAGCTCAGTTTAGTCTTGCATGATTGCTGGATGATGTGTGAAGCTCCTCCTCCTCCTCCTCCTCGGCACGGCACATCGCTTACTTCAATAACAACATTCTTTGCAGCTGTTGTTGCCCGAACCCATGTCCCAACTGGGCAAGTCTTCCCAAGAGGGCAAGTCTGAGCGAGCCGTTTGCAGAACAAGCTTTGAGCTTAGAGCCGAAGTTGGTCCAGGGACTTTTTTTCCCAACCCATGGAGCTTTGCAATTGGATGGGGTGGGACGATTGTGTGTGTGATGAGGCGGGAAGAGAAGAAAGAAAAAAAAGTGGCGTTGAATAGTCCCCGTAGATGCAGATGCAGATGCAAGACGCCCCCGCTGAGAGGGGGAGGAAGAGGGGGAGGGGGGGGTTGCAGCTTTGGTTGGAGCTTCGGGTGGAAATCATGTTTGGAAAGATTCAGCTTCAGCTTGAGAGGGGAAGATGGGGAGCTGATGTTGATTTTCAGTTGAGTTTTGCAGAGTCGAGAACAGACAGATAGACAGACAGATTCGGGCAGTTGTTGCTGTTGGTGTAGTAATTACTGACATGAGATGTCTGTAACAGAGTCCATTCAGACTCCTCAACTCTCATCATACGCAAAAGCACATTGGCTAAATCTCTCCATTCCACCTCGTCCTACCAACTCCCGTGCCGCCGCCACCACCACCCACAGAAGAAGAAGAAGAAAATAAAAGAAATTCACACATGTCAAAGATGCGAGGATGGTCCGATAAGAGCAATTGGTCCGAAATCGGGAGATTCTCATTCGAGAAGAAGAGCGGCAGCCCTGTGGTGTTATCTCTCTACTAGTATTACATATTGCCGCTTTACCGATGGGCCTTTCAAGGTTGTTAAATGGAGAATTTCACTCGGTTTTCTTTGGGTCCAGAGAGAGGCACATCTCCGAGGAGAATCCGGTGGGCGATTATATCCGCTGACATGCATTAGCATTGAATTCCACAAAGCGTTTTACACGAGATAACGACGATAGCCATGTGCCGAGGCTGACGGCGCTGTTTGTGCTGTTCAGCTTCATCTTGGCATTGGTAATTGTTCGTCGTATCTTCTATCCCTTTGATGGTGTAATTGGATGTATTCATCTAGTCCATCGGGACCTTTTATGTGTGTGTAGATACGTGCCAAATGAAAAACAGGACCGCTTCGCCTTGAATTATATGATCGCTCATGGAATTCGTCCCAATACAACAGGTCTGAGCCAGAATATCCAAGTATCACCAATAAACGCCACAGACCAGCTCCCACTTCCTCCTCTCCAACATCTTCCATTTCGTTTTCACTCACAGCTTGGCCTTGTCCTTCTTCGCCCCCTTCAAGCCCTCCGTCGTCCGCCCCGGCTCCAAAAAGTCGGGATACCGCGCGCCCATATCCACGCCGACCGTATACGCACCCTGCCTCCTCCACGACGCGCCGTCCACGGGGATGATCTGCCCGTTGATGTAGCTGCCCGCCTCGCTCAGCAGAAACACCGTCGCGTCCGCAATGTCCCTGACGGTGCCGAAGCGCCCCGAGGGGATCGCCCGCTCGTACTCGGCAATCTGCTCCGGCTTGCTGCTCGCCAGCCGCGCCATGCCCTCGGTGTCGGCGATGGGGCCCGGCGCGATGACGTTGGCCACGACGCCGCGCGGGCCGTACTCGAGCGCGACGCTGGCGATGAGCGAGTCCACCGACGCCTTGGCCGCCGCGACGTGCGCCTGGAAGGGCATGCCCGTGTAGTGGAACGTGGCCGAGACGGCGAGCAGGCGCGGCGTCGGGCTGCGCAGCAGGTGCGGCAGCGTCGCCTTGATGGTGTTGTACGTGCCCAGCACGTCAATGTCCATGACCGTCTTGAAGGCGTTGGAGCTGATGCCGTCGATGGACGCGACAAAGTTGCCCGCCGCGCCGGCGATCACGTAGTCGATGCCTCCGAGCTCCTTGGCGCATCGCGCAGCCGCAGCCTCGAGGCTCTCAATCTGTAGTCCAACATCGTATCAGCCCACTTGTAAAATTCTCCATTGTCTCTTCCTTTGCCAGGTCCCCCATCGTTCTCGTACCTTGCGCACGTCGCACTCTCCAATGCCAATGACCTTGGCCCCCGGCCGCGCCGTCGCAATGTCCTTGGCCGCGGCCTCCGTCTTGCTGGCGTTCCGGCCCAGGATGCAGGCGTTGGCACCGAGCCGGACCATGGCTCTGGTCTGCATGCTGCAGATGGTGCCCGCGCCGCCGGTGACGAAGATGACCTTGCCCTCTGTGTCACGGGGCAAAAGAACATTAGCTACATGGATTCTGATGGAGGTGTGTAGTCCTTTTCGGTTGCGGCAAACTAACTGAAGATGTCGTCTCGCCATATCGGGCTCAGGTATTTGGATTCGGGGACCGACATGTTTGCGATGCGATTCGTTGCTTGGACACGGAGGATGAGGTAGGAGGATATGCTGGAGGCGGAGATGCGGTGGGAGCAGTTGGAGGAGTCTCCGCGCGGTATGCGAAGATGAAAGAGAGGAGTGAGCGAGGAAAGATGGCTATGGGGTTGTTTTGGCCGTCCGTTCCGTTGCAATGTCTGGATCAAGATGCCTGTAAGCTTGGAGATCCCAAGGTTTGGGGAAGCGTGAGCCTCGGCAAGACAGTTAGTTGGGTGGGGCCGGTGCAGTGGCCGAAGAATTAGTGATGGCAAACAGTTGGAGATCTGGGGTAAATAGGCGTGAAGAGGTAGAGATTGTCTCATCCAGCAGCCGGCATTGGCATCTACTGCTTAGCCAAGGGATATGAGGGCGGTGATTGTATTGTATTTTGGTTCTCTTTTGGAGAAACTTGAATTGGCGTGGTTATCCAGAGGCTGATGCGATTGTCACATGCAAACTTGATAGGTGTGTGTACATGTAAGCAAGTGGTGATACAGGCAAACAGGTTGATGACCGAGTCCGAGCGACCGGGTTTGGATGAAAACCTGCGGTGGCGAATACGCCGCGTGTGTCCATTCGGACAGGACTCATCTCTTGACTTGCTTCTGGAGTGGAACAGAATTCTGAGCTGGCCATTCACCAGCCAGAAGCACGCAAACTTGGACTTGCTGCGCGCGTGTGCTTTGGCAAGCAAGACACTCACATGATGCTGCCTGGACGCTGTGTAGCCGCTCAGTCGGGATACTACCTACATACTGGCCGTTTGATCATCAAGGTTCAGGAGATGCATGTTCTACTAGTTGATACGACGTGGGCGCAGTCCAGTCTGTTGCCACGAAGATTTAGTTTCCTTGATAGTGGCTGGAGAACTCTTCGTCTCCGTGCATTCGCCACAGCCCGGGCATCACTAGTAGCTGAATCCAATCCAGGCACCCCTGGATCCAACTCTGTCAGATCTCAGGAGAGCAGCAGCAGCAATGCAACCTCGCTGTGCCACAATCCATGCAATTTGCAGCTGCTCTGGAGGATTCAGGGTTGGGTGGCAGGCCACACGTGGACGAGCCAATGGGCATATGCCAGCACTTTGAGGCTCTTGCCAGCGGTGACTGTGTGCTGTCACGAGCATCAAGCACAAATGAAAGGAATGTGTCACTTTACGTTAGCATGATTCAGCCTTTGAGCAGATTCACGTTTGAGCGAGAATCAATTGATCGTATTATATCACAAGGAAAGAAAAAAAGAAGAAAAGAAAAACCTGGGACCTGCATCTGACCTGAGCTGGCACCGCATGGCATGAGCTCCGCTTCTTCGGAAAAAGGCCACCTCAGACACGCAGCCCAGCACAACTCGCCCCGTCAGCCCCAAATTTCCAGCGGGCTCAGGCGCCGCACAGGCCACTGCCAGCCCCATCCCTGCCCCAACCGTCCGCTGCGAGTGGCCCCGGCCCTTCTGTAATTCGGCGCTGCGTTTCTCATTCGCCAGCGGGCCAGCTCCGCGGCTCCGCTGTTTCGAATGACGAACCAGGCGAGAAACAGAGCAGAACAACAGCCTTGCTGGGACTTCCATCGTCCATCAGCCAGACAAGCGGAAGCTTCCTCGCTCTTCACACCCAGAGACGCCAATTCACTCGTCTTGTCTGACTGTTTCACGTAATCAACACACGTGCCGGAGCAGCTCGTCATCGCCACTCGACTCGAAGACTCCCATCGCCAAGCTTTGCGCCGCCCGCGCCCGGGGGGGAGGCGCCCGAACCGACAGGGAAGATAAAAGGAGCACCCACGAGACGATAGTCGACACGACAGTCGACACGCACAAACATCCGAGCCGACTCGCCGCCACGCATCGCCGCCATGCCCAACTCCCTGGACCGAGCCGTGCGCTTCTCCGGCGGTAGCGACGATGACGAGGCCGGCGCCAACCTGGCCATGCAGAACCTCAAGCACGCCCTGCGCGAGGTCGAGGACGAGGGCTCGTCGCCCGAGTCCAACGGCGCCGACCTGCACGCCATCGAGCGGCACGACGACCTGGGCTCGCTCAGCAGATACGCCGACGCCCCCAACGGCCTCACCGGGTCGCTGAGCTCGCTGCCGCCCGCCTCCCACATCAACGGCGGGCCGCCGCCGCCCAAGGCCCAGCGGCCCAGCGGCGGCGAGGCAGACGCGCCCTATCTCCAGCGGCCCATGGGGCCCATCCGGACGCCGTCCAACACGTACAACCCCTCCAACTCGCGCAAGCCCGCCGCCCCCCAGCCGCAGCCGTCCTTCTCGGAGTCGGTCCGGTCCTCGTCCAAGACGCGCCCGCGCCAGAGCGACAGCCGCTTCCGCGCCCAGGAGCGGGCCTACGTCCAGACGCTGCGCCAGGGGGGCTACACGGGCGAGTACTTTGGCCAGTTCCAGCCGCAGAACGGAAACGACTCCGACTCCGAGGGCGAGACCCCGTCGTCCGAGGGCCCCTTTGACGACCGCCTCGACCAGCAGGAGACCATCATGTTCTACGGCAACGACGAGATACAGCCGACCGAGGAGGACATTGCCATCCCCGAGAACCGCGAGAGGCTGGAGTGGCACAGCATGCTGGAAGCTGTTTTGACGGGAGACGTCGTCCGGCAGGAGAAGAAGCGCCTCATCAACTCCACCGACACCACCACCAACAGGGCAACCTACAGACAGGAGCTGTGGCTCGAGCTCCGCGCCGAGGCGTGCGGCCGCAGGGTCCCGGTACAGAAGCGCATGGTGGAGGACGGCCGGGCCATGGTGGACAAGCTCCTGGACGACGTCATCAACTTCGAGGTCAAGGGGACTCTCGAGGCGGGGAAGCCGCCCTTTGAGCAGGTCAAGGACGTGGTGAAGAAGATTGAAAAGTGCCAGAGCATGTATCCCTCGTGGAACGCCCTCGTAGCGGAGCACAAGTCGGCCGTCTCCCCGCAGTTCTTGGAAGCCTACGAAGCCATCATGTCGTGGTACAACACCAACGAGATGATCAACACCGAGCTCGCCATTCTCAAGAAGTGGGTGGGCAACGACGAGCTGGACTTTTCCCGGACCAAGCAGCGGTCTCCCGCCGTGGACGGCATCACTACCGACGAGACTTCGTTCCTCGACAGACTGATGAAGGAAGACGGCCTCCAGTCGCTGTACAACGAAAACGCAAAGGTCATCCTCAGGGGCGACCTGGTCCAGTGGGGCATGCTGGTGCCCATCTCCAACGTCATCAAGAAGGCCAAGGAGACGCTGATCCGCAACTCGGCTCCCTTCCAGAAGCGGCACCTGCCGCCGTACCTGGACGAGCTGCTGACGCTCATCAGCTTCCCGTCACGCCTCATCGAGGAGATTACCAAGACGCGGCTGGCGTACGCTCGGAGGGTTAAGGAGACGGCCCAGCAGAACCCGCTGATGCAGGACCAGATGATTTCCCAGTTCCAGCTGCTGCTGCAGTTCGCCATCCGCATCAAGACGGAGTATCTCGAGATTGAGAAGCCCGAGCCCGGGTGGGAGCTGCCTCCCTGCATCGACGAGTCGTTTGACCAGGTGGCGCTCGAGGCTCTCAAGTACTACTTTAAGATGCTCAACTGGAAGCTCAGCGGCAACAAGAACACGTTCAAGGAGGCCGAGCTGCTGTTCCAGGAGTGGGACTTTGCCAACGACATTGGCGGCTCCCTCCACCGCGGCAACATCGAGGTCGCCGAGCAGTTTAGTTCGCTGACGTTCAAGGCCCTCAACCGGCTGGCCACGACGTTTGAGAGGGAGCTCCAGATCAAGCCCAAGGAGAGCGCGGCAGACATGAGTAAGCGTTACAAGGCCGCGCTCGACTCGGTGCGAGTCCGCCAGCGCATGCTGCAGCGCTTCTCCCGCATGCTGAGCGAAAACTACGAGCATGCCTGCGACTTTAGCATCTCGCTGCCGCCGGACCAGATGCAGCTGTTCTACGACCACCTAGTGGCCTCGGGCCACTTCCAAGTGGACACGCATGGCGTCTTTGAGACGCTGGGCATCTACCTGATTGCGTCGCCGGAGATGAGGGACCGGCTGGACGACGTCCAGGCCATGCTGGCCATCACGTCCGCCGACCGCTTTCCCGACGACTCGGGCGACCAGTACATCCTCATCCTGCGGCCGGAAGACCCCTTTGTGTGGATCGGCGAAGTGGCGGACGTGCTGATCAAGGAGCAGAACATCGACCTCAAGCGCGGGCAGATCCGTCTCTGCACCACCGGCAGCAACGCCATTGCCCACGCGCGCAGGAACTTTCTCGACGCCATCGACATGCACATTGACCTGCTGCAGGAGTCGCGCTCCAACATCCACAAGGTAAACACGCGGCTGACGGAGATTCGCCGCGTCGCCTACAAGCTGTCCAACACCTTCATGGACAGCGTCGAGATCATCAGGAAGCAGACCCAGGGCAAGGACTGCCAGGAGCTCATCCAGACGTGCTTCATCTTCGCCACCGAATTTGGCCAGCGCTCGCTGCTCTACATGGACAGCAACCGCCGGCAGATGAACAACCTCAAGCTGACCAAGCTGGCCCTGGACTGGGTCAGCTTCATCTGCGACGACTGCGTGGCCTCGGACCGGCGGACATTCCGGTGGGCGGTGCTCGCCCTTGAGTTCGCCATGGGCATGACGCGCGGCCGCCACATCCTGGCCCTGGGCGAGGAGGAGTACGAGAGGATACGCGCCAAGGTCGGCGGCTGCATGTCGGTCCTCATCTCGCACTTTGACATTATGGGGGCGCGCTCCAGCCTGGCCGCCCAGGCGGAGAAGGAGAGAATCGAGAATCTCGTGAGTCAGTTTAGGAAGGACAAGAACAAGATGCTCGACGACGACGAGGCGTCGATGGGCGTCACCGAGCAGCGCCTAGAGAAGCTCAACCGCGTGGACGAGTTCCGGGAGGGCAAGGAGGCCGAGCGGCGGGCGCTTGGCCGTGTGCTGGAGACGACCAACGAGGCCGACCGGTCGCTGGCCTACCTCTCGGCATCGGCTACAAACGTCACGGTGCGGTGGCAGCAGGGGCAGTTTGTGGGTGGAGGAACATTTGGCAACGTGTACGCCGCTATGAACCTGGACACGGGCCATCTGATGGCGGTCAAGGAGATTCGACTGCAGGACCCCAAGCTGATCCCGACGATTGCCGAGTCGATTCGCGAGGAGATGCGCGTGCTCGAGGTCCTGGACCACCCCAACGTCGTGTCCTACCACGGCATCGAGGTCCACCGAGACCGCGTCTACATTTTCATGGAGTTTTGCTCGGGCGGATCCCTCGCCAACCTGCTGGAGCACGGTCGCATCGAGGAGGAGGAGGTTATTATGGTATATGCGCTGCAGCTGCTGGAGGGTCTGGCCTATCTGCACGAAAGCGGCATTGCCCATCGCGACATCAAACCAGAGAGTAAGCCACCTCCCCCCTTTTACTCTCCTTTACTTCGAGTTCCAGGCTAACAAGTACAGACATTCTCCTGGACCACAACGGCATCATCAAGTACGTGGACTTTGGCGCTGCCAAGCTCATTGCTCGTCAAGGTCGAACAATGGCCGCCGACCTCCACGCCACAAAGCCTAACAAGTCGATGACGGGCACGCCCATGTACATGTCGCCGGAGGTGATCAAGGGCGAGAACCCCGGTAAGGCCGGGGCGGTGGACATTTGGTCACTGGGGTGCGTGATCCTCGAGATGGCGACGGGGCGGCGGCCGTGGGCCAACCTGGACAACGAATGGGCCATCATGTACAACATTGCGCAGGGCAACCCGCCGCAGCTGCCGTCGCCGGAGCAGCTGAGCCCGCAGGGCATCGACTTTTTGACGCGGTGCTTCGCGCGAGATCCTAAGCAGAGATCGTCGGCCATGGAGCTGCTGCAGCATGAGTGGATAATGACCATCAGGAACCAGGTGGTTGAGCCGGCGACGCCTAGCGATGCTAGTGGATCGTCCCAGTCGCCGTTTGTGTCGGCGACGTCGACCCGGAACAGCATTGGGCCGGATGGGTTCTACTGAGCCGTATGAGACGGTGGGCAATCTTGTGATTGCATCCTATTTCCACATTCTCCTTTGTTCGTCCGGTGTGGACTTTTGCTTCATCTTCCTCCTAGCTTCTTGCTCTCCTCGTCTGCATATGACTAGATGCAATCGATTGAGCTATGAAAGAAGCGAGTATATTATGGAGGAGTTGACGAGACCCTTGCACGGCATTCATATCTGGCCTCTTGGCTTTTCGTTTGTGCTATCCTTTCAATAGCTTTATTACAAGTCTTTGGGAAAGGGGAGGAACTGTGAGATTCTGCTTTATCGATACCTCTGCACAAACATACATACACGAACACGCACACGCACACACAAAGATTGCATCAGGGACGAGAGTCTGGCGTTGGTTTGACGCTTAAGCAAATGAAGGATTCAGACAGCCTTGGTCATTACACTGATGGTGAGGAATCTAAGGGGTTGGAAGAGAGGAGGAGTCTGTCTGCTGAGAAGGGAAGTGAGAAGAAACTCGAGCATTACATAGCTGGAGCTGATTGTTTGTGGGCATACGAAGGCGACCGGGCTTCTGTTTTCTTTTCTCCTGTATTTTCATGGTTTCTCTTCTGAGAGCGAAATACATATATATAGCTACTAAGTTGCTAGGAGTATACTCTATCATGGCAACTGAGAAAGACTTGGTGTTGCGACTTGATCATTACGTAGAAGGGGACCAAGGCAATTCTAGTCCAATACGCGTGTAACAACATGTCAAAGTGGATGCTGCTAAAAGGGCTTGAACAGGATTGAACGTACGTAATACAGCCAAGGGCAGTTCAGTCAGTTGCCAGCTCATCCGGCATTCTCTGTGCCACGTCTGTCAACTTGTGTACTGTCACTTGACCCCCTTGATCTCAGTAGAACACCAGAGTTTGACTCCAACCATCAGCATTTCTCACGAAACGAATAAGCCCTACCTTACCTTGCAATACAGGCAAACCATCAGCATCAGCAAAGTACCGATGAAGAGAACAGCTCAAAAAGGGCAAGCACCGCATTCGGCCCAAAGCCAAGCCGGCACCCGCCGTCGCACCTTCCCTCCCCGCAGATCCCACGGCCGGCGTCTTCCGGTGGTCGAAAGTGGGGCAGATTTTAGTGGGGAAGCTGATACGTACTACGCGAAAAGAAGGAGCGGCGAGATGGAAAAGGAAAGAAGCGGGCTTTCGGCAAAGGGAGATGCGATAAACCTGGAATAAGATAAAGTCTCGGCCTTGTCGCACTGCCAGCCTGACTTCCTTTTCTCCCTTTTTTTTCTTCTTCTTTTTTTCCCCTTTTTCTCTTCTTCTCTTCTTTCCCCCCTTTTCTCTTCTCTTTTCTCTTTGGGCTTCCATGAGTAAATCCCCTTGTTCCTTTCTTGGACTCGTGTATTGCTGAGAAAGGGTTGAAGTAAGACTGCGGTTGGTTTTCTAAGGTGCTATCTGGATACCCAACCATATATACCTATATATCGAGTCAGAGAAAGGGATATAAAAAAGGCTCCAACAACAAAAAAAAATGGCCAACACCCAGCCCGCCATCCTCTCCGGCACAGACGAGGCCCAGATCGCATCCACCTGCGCCAAACTGGGTCTCTCCGTCACCGAGTTCAGCGAGCTGCGGCGGCGCGCGACGGCGGCCAAGGCGACGGCGTACTGCCGGTACAGCCGCTTCCGCGTGGGCGCGACGCTGCTCTGCACTCTGCCCGACAATGCTGGAGGAAAGGAACAAGGTGAAGAAGAAGAAGAAGAAGCGGTAGTGGGCGTTGTTCGTGGAGAGGGAAAGACGGTCTACGTGCCGGGCGCCAACGTGGAAAACGCGTCGTATCCCGTGGGCACGTGTGCTGAGCGGGTGGCCTTGGGCACGGCGGTGACGAGCGGCATCAGGACGTTCCGGGCGATTGCCGTGGCGACGGATATCAGTCCGCCGGCGAGCCCTTGTGGGATGTGCAGGCAGTTGTGAGTTTTTGTTCTCTTCTTCCTTGTTTTTTTGCTTCCGGTGGTTGGGCTGGGTTTATGCAAGGGGATGGGGATGGGGAGGGAGCGGGAAGAGAATGCAAGGGAGAGAAAGGGGGAGAGATGGAGAGACGGGAAGACAAGAGGGACAGGGAGAGAAAGAGATGAGGTGGCTTGATGAACGAGGCTGGACGAGTTGAGCTGACGGGGATCGACGTGCAGCATCCGCGAGTTTTGCACCATGCAGACGCCCATCATCATGTTTGACAAAAACTCCGACTACGTTGTCATGACGGTGGACCAGGTACGTTCTAAGCTTAAAGCCTCCCTTGCATCTAACCTTATCTGCCTTGCTTTTTGCCCTCTTGCTCTGCTGTCTCACGGCACAAGTTCAGCTGTCCTGGAACCTTAAACCCATGCTCTCTCTCTCTCTCTGTCTCTCTCCAAATCAAGGTTTATCACCTGGGGCTAACGCATCGGAACTTTGTTCTTCTTTCTCCCTTGCAGCTCCTCCCAATGTCTTTCGGCCCAGACGCTCTCCCACCTGCTGGTGCCCCGGGATTCTAGATTTGGATTTTGACATGTCTTGGTGCTTTGTTGGTGGCTTTTCGACACTATTGAACGGACACGGGAGTTTGCCATGCCACTGCAAGGGGAGGCCGGCCGGATGCTGCGACTGCCGGTCGTGGCGGTGGGTGAGATTCGCGGCAGTTTGATTTGTTGTTGAACGGGTTTTGAGTTTTTTGTTGTCTTGCATTTTGGAGGCTGGGGGTTTGGATAGGGGTCATTGTTTTTTGATTTGATAGCGAAGTGAGACAGACAAGGGTGGTGGGTGGTTTTTTTACACAATGCATGTCTTGAGAGACAATTTCCACAATGCTTTCTTGACCGGCTGCAGGGAGAAGCTCGCCACAATGGGGAACCGTGCTTTGATACAGGCCCTCGTATTTGATTCAGCCAAGAGACAACAGAAGGAAAAGAAAGGAAGAAAGGAATTTTTGACAAAGTAGAAAGTATCCTGCGCAGGAAACAGGATCTACTGCAAAATTGGTCTCAGTTGAGGGGACTTTGAGAACCGAACCCTGCATAGAGTCGAGAAGCAAAAAGAAAAAAAAAAATCAAGAGCCTAGATTCATCCATCCACACACCATCTCATCATCGTCTCGTAAAATGCCCTCATTGCTCTTCGTTCTCCGTTCAAGTCCTCCCCATTACGTGTTCATTGCTGTGCGTGTATGTAGAATATCGTATGTATTATCTATATATCTCAAATTAGAGTGGGAGAAGAAAAGAAGAAAAGAATTAACAAAAGGCACTGCACAACACACGGCTCATCCACTAGTGTGACCCATCATTAATCCCTTGTCCTCTTTGTATTATATGCCATGAGAGAGACCCTTTACTCATCGCAGTCCTCATCGGGGACGATGATGTTAGTGGCAGTCGGCGCCGGTGCCGACACCGAAGACGGGCGAGGCAGCGTCGCAAAGGTAGTGGGCACGCCCTGTCCAAAAGGCACGGACGACGAGGACTGCGCGAAGATGGCGGGCGAGCTCTGTGCGACAGGGGTGGAGGAGGCGGACTGCGTGCTGATGGTGGATGAGGCAGCCAAGACGGGAGGAGCGTAGGGGATGGAGACCGCGGTGCTGGAGGGGGCGGCGAGCGTTGGGGAGCTGACGGAGACGGACGATGTGAGGAACGCGCCGCCTGGGGGACCGGAGGTGGTGGACGCTGTACCAGAAGTGGTAGACGCAGTACCAGAAGTGGTGGATGCAGTACCAGAGATGCTGGCGGAGCTGGTGGACGCAGTGCCGGACGTAGTAGACGCAGTGCCAGATGTGGTGGAAGCGGTACCAGACGTGGTGGATGCAGTAGCAGAGGTGCTGCCGGACGTGGTGGACGCAGTGCTAGATGTGCTGCTGGACTTCGTGGACGAATGGTCGTTGAAAGCTCCGCCAGGCACCGAGAACGAGAACGAAGAGCTGGGACCGGTAGGATCGGGCTGGAAGGGCACAACATCGGTGGGGATGTCCGAAGGGGGGCTGCTGGTGCTGCGAGGGACGCCGGTGGGAGTGCTGGCGATGCCGGTGGGAGTACCGGTGGGAGTGCTCGCGACACCAATGTCAGTGGGATCACACGGCTCGTCGACGTCGGTGGGGACGACACCAGTAGGGATCCCCGTGGGGAGGGCAGGCGTGCTGGACACAAGGCCGAGACCAGGGGGCTTGGACACGGTCTCCAAGGGGGTGCTGGTGGGCTGAGCACCCGAAGTGGAGCTCCGGATGAAGGATGTCTCAGACGATGTGAGGAAAGCGCCGCCTGGGGGGCTGGAAGTGCTGGGCGCAGTGCTAGAGGTGCTGACAGAGCTGGTGGACGAGGCCGTAGTGGACGAGGCCGTGGAAGAGATGCCAGAAGGTCCAGTGGAAGAAGCGGTGGAGGACGAGGTGCCACTGCTCACAGTGCTAGAAGACGTCAGGAACTGGCCGCCCGGAACGCTCGACGTGGACGAGGCAGTGGCCGATGAAGCGCCAGTGGACGACGAGGTGCCGCTGCTCACAGTGCTCGAAGACGTGAAGAACTGACCGCCTGGAGGGCTCGAGGACGACGCAACACCAGTGGGCAGGGTGGGCAAGAGGCTCGGGATGCTGATGCTAGGCTCATCGCAGTCGCCTGGGTCGGGGAACACGCTGATGGTGGGGATGGCAGGCGTTGAAGTGCCGACAGAGACAGATGACGTGAGGAACGCGCCGCCTGGGGGACTGGAAGTGCTGGATGAAGCGCCCGGAATGCTAACCCTGCTGGTAGAGAGGGTAGTGGTAGACGAAGCACCCGGGATGCTAACCCGGCTGGTAGAGAGGGTAGACACGCTTGAAGTGGCAGATGAGGCACCGCTGCTCACGCTTGCCGACGACGTCAGGAACTGACCACCAGGAGGTGAAGACGACGAAGAGGCAGCAGTGCTGGACGAAGCTCCCGGAATGCTGACCCGGCTGGTAGAAAGGGTAGTGCTGGACGAAGCACCCGGGATGCTAACACGGCTGGTAGACGAAACAGCAGTGCTGGACGAAGCACCCGGAATGCTAACCCGGCTGGTGGAGAGGGTAGTGGTAGACGAAGCACCCGGGATGCTAACCCGGCTGGTAGAGAGGGTAGACACGCTTGAAGTGGCAGATGAGGCACCGCTGCTCACGCTTGCCGACGTCAGGAACTGACCTCCAGGAGGCGAAGACGGCGACGAAGCAGCAGTGCTGGACGAAGCGCCCGGGATGCTAACACGGCTGGTAGAAAGAATAGACGAAGCAGCAGTGCTGGATGAAGCACCCGGAATGCTAACCCGACTGGTGGAACGGGTAGACGCAGTGGATGAATGACTAGACACTCTCGACGTCGAGCGGGTGCTGCTTACGCTAGCCGACGACGTCAAGAACTGACCCCCAGGAGGCGCAGAAGACGAAGCCCCCGGAATGCTAACCCTGCTGGTAGAACGGGTAGACACGCTCGAAGCGGTAGACGCAGTGCCCGGAATGCTCACCCGGCTGGTAGAGCGGGTGGACAAGGTGGTCGAACGACTAGACACCTTCGACGTCGAGCGGGAAGACACCTTGGAGGTAGCAGACGAAGTCAAAAACTGACCCCCAGGAGGCGCAGAGGAAGCCGGCGAGGACCCTGGCCCAGCAGGCACACTGGCGGACGTAAACTGGCTAGGCAAGATGTGCGTAGTAGTGCTGCTCGCGCTGGACTTCGAAGGAGTGAACCCAACGGTATTGCTAGACTGGCCAGGGGTCTGCGACGGCAAGACATATGGGTTTGAGATGGTGTTCTGGTGCGTGCTGCTCCCGTCCGGCCCCGTCGAGGACGACGAGGACGCGGCCTTGGTGAGAGGCGTCGAGGTAGGGGAGGCCGGCGGGTTGCCCGTGGGGGAGGAGGGAGTCACGTAGATTGTCGTCTCAATGGTCAGCGTGGTGGTCGTGATGATGCTGACGGTGGCGCACGTCGGCAGCGCATCTTGCTTCTTTTCCAGAAAGATCTTGGCCGCCTGGTCAATGGCAAGCTCTTCGGCTGCCAGCTATTCACCACGTTGTTAGTATTGTCCTCCAATGATACAGTGTGGGCTCGTCCTGCTTACCTTGGGACTGCCTGGTAAGGAGGCGTCCACCATGGACAGCAGCCCAGAGGCCGCAAGTAATGTGAGAAGATGCATATCGACTGGATCTGTACTATGAAGGCAAAAAAACAACACAAAAGAGTGTAAGTAGAAGATGAAGAAGATATGGACAAGTCAAGCAAACGCTGGGGGCAGAGAGCGAATATATAAAGAGCGGACGACCTGTCAAGATATTATGCCGGAGAGCGGCTGGAGATGGGTTCTGATTCACAAAGGCACAAGATAAAAGGCCGACTTTTATATCACAACTCCCAGCCCCTGCATGATAAACAATTAGATGAGTCTGGAACCGGACGAGACCCGCGGGATGAGCCCTTGGGAAGCAGGGAGGCCGTCGGGATGAGACCGCATGCAATAGTCCATCACCGCGTACAAGATAATCAGCCACAGCTGCAGGTGGACGGACAGGTGCAAGAGGTGCAAAGAGGCAAGGGAGCGGCTTCGCCCTACTTAAGCCCCCAAGCTAGGCAACTGATGTTCAGGGGAACCGGCCAGTCAAAGCGCAAAGGGCGAATGAGTAGAAAAAAATAAACTTCACGTGTCAAGGGACGAACTGAGATTTCACGAAACCGTTTGATTCATTGTGCCACCGTCTGGCGTAGCTTTTGTCCTGTGTAGTGTGTAGCGTGTAGTGTTTTGTGTTGTGAGCGTGGCTGCTCTGCTCGGGCAGGGTCTGTCTGCCATGAAAAAGTCCTTGTTGTAAGACGTAGATATGCAAAAGGGTATCCGGACCAGAGACACTCTCATTTTAAACGCCCGCTGCGTCCCTGGTCGTACAACAAAAACAAAGACGGGGGTTGATGAAAATTGTCCATCAGAAAAAGGGTGCGGGAGAAGGTAATATGCGGTAAGTGTGTCTGTGTCTCTGTGTGTGTGTGTGTGTGCGTCTCTGTGGCTGCGCCAATCTCCGAAATCTCACAATGCCTGTGTCCCGTGCGCCTGGAAAGTCGAGTGAAACAAAAATGACCTTTCCGTACCAAAACCTCCGAGTAGTAGTAGTAAACGAGAGAAAGAAGAAGGGGAACAAGGGGAAGGGAAACAGGAATCAAAGCTCAATAAGCCTGCGCACGCTCATATGCAGTCATTCATAAAAATCAAGCTGCCGCCGGGGCATTCAGTCCTCCCAGATGGTTTCCAGGTCAATGTCGCCACGCCGCTCAGCACCGCAGACGCTCCACCGCTTCCGCTTGTCTTTGGAGCCAAAAGCCATTGTGCGACCACGGGCTGGCAGATCCAGGCTGCCCCGTCCTTTTGCGTCCGATGTGTCTCCGGCCTCCGATATTTCCGCTGCGGCCTTGAGCTGGGCCTGTTTCTCAGCTTCGAGGGCAGCCTCCTCCGCATCGGGAGAGTCAGGGATTGTTTCCAGACTCGAGATGCTGGGGCTGCGCGACCTCAGCGACGTGGGCGTGGAGGGGACCGAGGAAAGCGCCCCATAGCTGCTAGAGAAGGGGTCGTACGCCCGGTAGAGAGACGACGAGCTGGAGGTTGGTGTGCTGGGCAAGGTCGGGAGAGATCCAGTGCTCGATTGGGCGTAGTTTCGAATTGGCGACGAAGTTCGACGGGCCCGCGTCAAGGTTCCATTAGTTGAGACACCCAGGACAGGAGAGCCGCTCCTATCGGCAGGCACTCGATCGTGGTCAAGAACTGACGTTCGCACAGGAGACGTCATGGGGAACGACTCGTCCACCGGCTTTCGCGGTGTGCGAACTCGGCTCGGCGACTGCGCCGGGCTGGCTGGACGAAACTGAGGAGAGTAGAGCAGGTGGCCGGAACCGGTGACGCCAGGCATGGACTGGGTGCGGCCCATGGGCGCGGCGCCAAGGCTAGCAGCGGACCGTGACCGAACATGAGTGTTGCCAGCGAGGGGAGAGGTCGTCCGAGGCCGATATGGCAAGGCGACCATGGGGGTCCATGAGAAAGAGCTTGTCGAGGTTGGGCTTGGGTCTGTGCTTCTGCGCAGATTGGGTGGTTTTCTGGCCATGTCGAGATCGAGCGTCGAAAGTGTATGCGGCCCGTTGACGCGAGCCTTGGATGGCGGAACAGCGCGAAACTCCTCCATGCGCTCTGTCTCAGGAACCGGTTCCATCTTAACGGCCTTTCACGTGTTGCATACGGGGAGGGTCGCGACCAGGAGGAGACAAGGAGTATCGGCCTGGAAAAGCAATCAATGCTGCTGGTAACTTTTGACGACCCGGGACCAGCTCTGGGCTTCCACGTGGGAGGTGTTCCGCACAGCAGAAAGAGGTCAGGCAACGGCGGCAGCGGGCGAGAGAGAGAGGCTGCGCGCGAGGAGTTGACGTCGGGAGGTCGTGATTTTTGAGTCTGGGGTGAGCGAGACGGTATCAACCCCAGTGGGGAGCCAAAGTGCGGAGGGTATCAGGTAGGTGGGTATTGCGTTCAGAATCGAAGCCGCGCACAGCTGACAAGCGCCCAGATGAAGAAGTCGAGCGAGCAATGGCGAACGAGCTGGAGTCTGAGGCAGCAACCGGGGACGGGCGTTGCGCAACGACAATGCAATGGCGGCGACCCGACCGTCTTTTTACAGCGTGCGCAGGCCAGCCGACATTCCTGTCTCCTGAGACCCGGACCTGTTTGGTGAGGCCAGGCAGGGGGGGGGAGGGGACAAAATAAACAGCGGCCTCTGCGCCCTGCCACGGAAATTCCTGAGCAGCGAGCCGCAACCGGGAACACCGCCAGGCCTTGAGTCCGAGATAGCCGGTCGATGGCAGACGAGAGCGAGCCGACGAGGTTCGAGGGTGAGGCGGGACTGGCCGGGGGGAAGCGGTGCAGAGAAGAAGAGGGCTTGCAAGGTGAGAGTGAGTTGAAGGTGAGAAGAGGGAAAAGAAGGGTCTAGTACTTGGTAGTTCCTGCGCCTTCTTCGACTCGACTCGACTCGACTCGACTCGGACCTGCCTTGTCCAATTCGGCTGCCTGTATCGAGCAGGTGGGCGTCTAGCGGAACAAGTACCTACTAGAGCCTCGGGCTAGTAGCACCTGTTGTCCTGTCATGTCACTGTCACCGTCACCGCAAAGGGACCTCCGATCGTTGCCCAAGTGCAGCGGTACCGCGCCATCCACTGGCCGTTGCAGGGCGCGCATGTCACTGTCACCGCAGCCCCGGGGCATGTGCGTGGCGCTGCGTCTCCGCGCCACTGGAAGCCCGCCGTTTCGCTTCTTCTTTTTCGCTCGTCAACAGCACTTGACATGTTCGGTTGAGGTCAAGTGCAACTCCTCTTTTTTTTTTTTTTCGCACCGCTGCCGGCCCTCCTCCGGCAGCCAACCACCAACCAAGCGCCGCCGTCCAGGGCATGTCAATGCGCTGGGCGTGAGCAAACAAAGCCCCTACAGTAGCGACGCTCCCCGGCATTTCACCTTCAGGTCATGCAGGACCAGCACGGCGCTCTGGTTGGTGCTGGAGGAACCTCGATGCAAACCAACCGAACCAACTCGAACTCGCCCATCGCATCGCGCAAAATACCGCTCTGGGGTACATGCTGCTGCTGCCAGTTTGCGTGCATCCAGCATGTACATCGTCTGCTCACGCCAAGTATCTAGGTACCTCTGATTATATTGACCCCCCTTCTTCTCTCCTCTCTCCCCTTCTCCTCATCCTCCTCCTCCTCCTCATTCCCCCATCTTTTTTGTCCTAAAATGTACTCTTCTTTCGCTCTGCATCGCTTCCGACCACGCGCCGCTTCCCTTCGCAGTCGAGCCTTGTGCCGGCCAATCAGCTGCCCCAGCCCGCATGACTCGCCCCCGACGCCAACCCCCCGTGGGCCAGCGAGCAACAAGACCTCGAAGTCCCTGAACTGATCATTGTCCAATCTGCAGCTGAACTGACAATCACGCTGATCGCCATTGCTCAGTGAAGGAGAAAGGGAAAAGAAGAAGAAAAAAGAACGAAAAAATCAGCCAACGCCTCGTTGCATCCAAGCGAGCGCCAATCCCGCCACCGGAGGTTGTCAAGCAAAAAAAGGGCGTTTGAGCTAAACTTGAACGAAACTCCGTACAATAGAAGAGACAGAACATTTCGGCCTTTCCAAACGCCCAAGGCTTGGGCTAGCATTACTAGCCTCGCAGAGGAGAGAGGTTTCTCTTGACTCGCTACCCCAGCCCAGCCCAGGGCGTAGTTGCTCTCAGCAAAACTGACAAGGTTGCCATAAAGTAGACGTAAGAAAAAAATCATCGAGCTCAATGGTTCAAGCCTCGCCACTACGGTGTGTCCGGCCGAATGAAAAAGCAAAGAAACAAGAACTCCTTCTTTCCACATCCGTACATACCGATGCCCTCCCACTATGTACTGCAACGATCACATACATACAAAACACCTTCCGAGCTTGTCGCCGTCTTACTCGGCTAGTGCACAAGGCCAGCAGCCATGAGGCGTCAAGAAACCGCAATAGAAGCCAAGGAAGCAAATGAAAAGGAGGAGGAATGCCGATGTTCCCTCTTTTTACCCAGCCTCTTCTTCCTGCATCTCCGATCTTTCTCCAGGCGGGAAAGGTTTGCAGGACTCAAAAGCTGTATAGTGTTGCGGAACAAATGCCCCGTCCAATGCGTGAGTAGAAACAGACCAGAACACCCATCAATATCAGACTGCAAATACTTTAAAGTGATGCAATGGCCGAAATGAGGGTTTTTTGTCTGCATATGCCGTTAATATGTATGCATGTTGTCACGAGCTCTCTGTAAGGTATGCTGTAGATGCAGACAGTAGCACATATGCATGCAGAGAAATGGAGATCTCTCTGCTCGCCTTTTCCAACTTCCCACACTGCAACTATGGCGACTAAACAAGAGCACATGCGTAGCCAATAGCTTACATTGACCCGTCAGAGATCGACAATAGTCGACTGATTGATCTACCGATTACTATCAGCAATCGAATAACCATGCACAATGTTTCTTGGTCTGATATCGAGACTGGCGAGAACCTCCCTCTCGTCGTGGGGCTACCCTGCATTTGTAATTGAAACATGTGGGCAACATGTGAGGTCCTGTCCTGACAGAGTACCAAAGAGATGAGATAAGTGCATAGACACATCTAAGTCAGCAAAGGATCAGCCATGCACACTTCGGACACACCATGTGGGATTAAACCCATGTGCGGCCTTGCTCTACAATCGGAATTGACGGCAAATGGCCAGTCACCAAGCTGCTCCCTGCGAGAGCATATTAACCCTCTAAATACCGATGAAGTTTCTCTGATCCCCCAAGTTCAAATGGACCAAAAACCAAGTCCGAACGCTCTGAGCCGCTGCCGCGCACCAAATCAGACAATCATGGCATCTTCCACCTTGACATCATCCTGCCGAATGGGCAGCTCTCCCTGTAACATTCCCTGACCATTTGCCTTCGACTCACTCTTCGTCTCGTTCCCATTGACCTCGTCAGAGTGCCTGACGTGCCGATACACCTTGACCGAGCCATCTTGCCCGGCAGTCACCATTGTCTCGCCGTGCACGTCCACCCAGAAGCATACCCCCTCGTGACCGCGCACCCGCTGAAGCACCTCCTTGCTCTTGACGTCCCAGATCAAAACGTCGCCGTCCTCGCTCGCGGACGCGATGAACGCTTCGCCGTCCAGGACGCCAAAGCAGCCCCCAATGGCGAAGCTCTTGTTACAATGGCCTTGATATGTCTTCTTGACGCTTCCAGAGACGTAGTCCCATAGCCGGATGCAGTTGTCGAGGTTGAACGCGAGGACAAATCGGCCGTTGGGCGAGAAGCACACGTTTGTTACGGCGGGATTGTCTTCGTGAACGAGGGTTCGTAAGCACTGGCCGGTCGAGGTGTCCCATACACGGCTGCACAGAAATGTTAGCATATGCAATTCCCATGCTTGTGTGTACCCGAAGTATGCAAGAACTCACATCAGCCCGTCCGTTGAGCAGCTGACGACCAATGTGCCGTCACGACAAAAGTCGATGCCTGATACAGGATCGCTATGGGCAGGCAGACTCCTCATAAGACGTCCAGCCCGCACGTCCCAGAGAAAGACGGCCTCGTCGTACGACCCGCTGGCCAAAATGTTGCCCTTGGGCGAAAAGGCCAAGCAGTGAATGTAGTTGTGATGCCCTCGCAAAGGCGCCATCTCCTGCCCCGCCTTCCGAGCCGTCGTCTTCGGCCGCCCTGTGACCCGATCCCACAGCCGGATGGCCTTGTCGTCGGAGCCGCTCGCCAACGTGTTGCTGTCCGGCGTCCACGCCACGCAGCTCACGCCCGCCATGTGGCCGACCAGCGTGTCCATGTGCGCCCCCGTCGCGGCATCCCAGATCTTGACGGTCGCGTCCGCGGACGCAGAGGCGATGAAGCGGCCGTTGGGGGATATTCGAACCTGCGACACGGCCTTTGTGTGTCCGTGGAGCACCAGACGGGCCTTGTAGTTCGGTTTCGGCAGCTCTCGTGGGGGAGTAAGCTGTTGTTGCGGTTCTGGAGAAAAGGAATTCAGTCTCGACTGGCTTGTGGACGTGGGCGAGCGCGAGCGTTGTCGAGAACGCGGCGTTCCCGCTGGAGAAGGTGTCGAGTGCGCAGGTGACTGCGAGCGCGTCCTAGACCCAGAGCTCGACGCTGAGCGCGACCTTGGCACCGATTCAGAGGGCGCGCGCGAAAGGGACTGCGACCGGGAGAAGCCGTTGAGATACTGCGCCTTTGTCGGGCTCTGGCTCAGGCCGCCGCCGCGCTGCGACACTCGCCTGGGCGGCTGCCGGAAGCCATCTGGGTCGCCGGCGAGGATGTCGGGGGAGCTCGACCGGGGGGACGGGGTGTCGCCGGTTCTCCGCCGCTTGTAGGGCGGAGGCGTGTCTCGCGCCAGCTCGTCGGGAGAGCTCATGATCGTCGGGGGGCCCTTTGTGAAGATGACGAGGCTGAAGCTTGGGAGGCTGTATGCGGTCAAGTGCCCGTACAAGGCTCTGGGAATTTTTGTGGGCCTGTCGCGTCACAGGGGGAGAGTTTGACGAATGAGCGCGGAAGACGCTGGAACCCATGTCCTTTCACGAAAGGGGAGAGCTTCACTGTCATGGGAAGTTTAGGGTACACAATCTTTGTCTTTCCTAGGTAGATGCTCATGAGAGAGATTGACCCAGGTACCAAGTATTGAAGGCTTTGATCTGCTGCTTGGTAGGTAGGTAAGTAGTAGGCATAGACAAACCTTTCCATACTGCCATATCATGGAGCTTGTAGGAGCACACAATCTGGACTCATCTACAAAGGAAAATTGCTACCGTTGAACGAGCTGCTCTTTGACGCCAAGGTCTCAAGTACACGTGAATGGGCCGCTCCTGATCTCAGATCCCAGCCGCATGTGACAGCGAACCACACAGATGCAGGGTCCGCCTCCTCCTCGATCTGACGAAAACCGATTATCAGAAGCAGAAAATTCTTTCCCTGCCCGCCAATTTGTCCACTGCCAGAGCGGTACATTTAGTAGCTATACCTCGAAGCTCGAGTCCAGCTGCGCTCTTCATACTGTGAAGGAGAGCAGTAATAAAAGCGGCGTTTACCGTGAAACAGTCCCAAGAGTCCTGGAAGCATTGCGCCGGCCCCTGGGCAAGGGCCCTGTGATGTTCATCCCTACAAAACACGCACTGATTATCACCTCTGTTTTATATGCAGAAAGATGACAGTGCTGGGATCATGGGAAAATCGTGCAATAGTATGACATCAGCCCTAAAACGTTCCTGATCAAAAACAGCTGCCGCCAGAATGCTGGGAGAGTAATCAAGAGTGTATTGTGAACTCGAGAACTCTATGTACAAGTGAAGGGTGCGTCCCATTAGGAAGAAGCTCATTGGCTAACTGCTTCTTTTCTTTGCGACTTTGCTCTCTGGGACTTGTAGGTCGAGCCACAACGATGCGGATACGTACCGCCAATGGTATTCCTTCCAGAGGGACGGATAGCGAACAAGACTTTTTCCTTCTTCGTTAGTCCGGAATGCTGCAGATGTCTCATCAGCTAGACGAAGCGTCTTTCTTTTCTAAAAATGGATCTGAGTCATGGAATAAAGAGCAGTAGAATCTAGGCTTCTAGAAGCAGTCAGAAGGCAAACGACAGCGCGCTACGGACGACGCTGGGCTCGGGGAAAAGAGAGTCAACTGCCGCCATCGTGCATTCCGGGGCTTTGCAAAGATCGTGGCCCAAGCAATGACTGCCGAAGAGAATCCATCATTGACCTGCCTGATGAGGGAGGACGAGAAACATGCACGCAGCCATTCTCGTGCTCGAGATAGTAGGTAGTAGCAAAAACTCCCGAGATGGACGGAGACTATTATGGGGCGTAATGCAGGTACGAAAACAAAATCACCGCCAAGCTCGCACAGAGGAGATTGAAAGGTCCTACAGACTCAGAACACTTTCACACCGCCCCTCCCCAATTTCGGCGGGTACCCGAAGGAGGCTCTGGTGATGAAATGAGGCCTCGGACGGGGGATGTTGCATCCGCCATGCCGCGGATTGAAATGAGATGGCAAAAGAGGAGAAATGAACAAGGAAACCATACGAACAGTCTTTTTGCCCTTTGCGCGTCTCTGCTGTGACGGGCGGGCATGCATGAGTGGGCGAAACAGCCCGCGAATCGCAGCGCCGAGGCGGAAGCGCCTTCAATGCACCTCGTCTGCTTCTGGGCTAGCCGAGGCGACGGAGAGGAGGCGGTTTCGATAGCTTGCGCAGTAGCATGGGAATCGGGCACTTCCTATTTTAGAAGATGGATCAGCTTGATCACTATTATTGATTGATTGACCGATGACTGATGGACGGGCTCCCACGAATCACTCGAATGTAACCGGCGAGTGGGGAGCTCTAAGGCACCCCGAGCTGGCTAAATTGGCCCCGGACGACATCAACTGATGCGTCTTACTCACGGGATGCATGCCCGCTGCGATGCAAGTCGAGTTCCAGCGCTTACTTGGACGGCACGGTCGAAAGAAGCTTTGACGGCTTGCCACGGTCACACCTTGATGAGCAGTCCAGCCGCTCCGACGATTGGAGATTGGACGGATTCCGCCTCACGCGCACCATCCCAGTTCTGAACGCCACGGCGGTCTGAGACATTTGGAGGCTTGATCTGTAGCTGTAGCTGATGAGAAGCTGAAGGGAGCTGAGGGCAAGAATCTGATGTGAGGCTGATTTGTTAGCGCTGGCGGAGAAAAAGTAAAGAAAGACAGAATGAACAAAGAGGAACGGTGCAATAGCAGAGCATCACGACAGAAGGATTTCTCCGTCGTCATCGAGGGCAATTCCCGCCCGTGATTGCGCGATACTGTAGACCGGACCGACTCTTGCAGCGGTTGGTTTGGCGACGGGAATCCAGTGTCCTCGGAAACACTGGGTGGCACGCCATCAATCGTCAGTCTTGCAAGGCCCAACCGCGAAAGGACGTGAGCCAACAATAGCCATCCTGGAGCTTACCGAGGCGGAGTAACAACTTTCTTCTCTTCCACATTCCTGTCGCACACGTCTTGCAAGCATCAGAAAGAGGCAAACACATGCCTGCAGAGATGCCGCTGAAATCCATGTAACCAACGTGACGTGGGACGGGGAATGGAGCCCGTGCCCGTCTTGTGGCCTGGCGATTCCAACACTCGCACCAGCACCACCTCGCAGACCGAACGAGCTTTGATGGACGAGGCCAGCTAGTATTACCAGAGTTGCAGCTGCTGCAAAGTTCCCTCTCATCGCACAAAGTTCGTACCATGAAATAACCTGGCTCAGCCCTGTCTGCACCTCATCCGCTAGCAGCCAATCAGCGGCGCCAGCCCGCGGCGCAATTTGCTTTTTTGCCCCTGACGGCTGGCCGCCCCCGCTCTGGCCGGGCCTCGGGCTGCAGATATGTGGACGTGGTTCGTCTGCAGGAACAGGATCCAGGAACAGGAACAGGGACCAGGCATCGGCGGACAGCGATAGCGCAGGTACTCGCGCGCGGTGGTGTCGTCGTGCGATGGCGGAGGTACTATCGCGAGCTCTCCAGCTAATAAGGTAAACGTGCTGCTAGTCGCAGCTCCGTCTGGCCGCGACAGAGCCTAACAGAGCGCTTGAGAGGGCGGGCTCCAGCGAGCAATGCCCCCCTTAGCCCTGGTTGCACCGGCGCAGGTGGTTGTACTGGTACGAGTGCGCTCTGGTGTTGACGGCAACCTCACGATGGCTGCACACAGGGCCGAAGAGAGCAAGTGACCAGTGTACTGCCATATGCTGCAGTTGTCATGTTGAGCAGCAAAATATCACATCTTTTCCCTCTCCTTGTTGCTGCCATGCGATGAGCAAAAAATGAAACAGGCGCTTCATCATCCAGTTCGTGCGCAAAATCTCGTCTCGGCCTCCAGTAGGGGCTCGGCCAGTCCACGCGCCTAAACGCCTCGCATCCACCCACGCACAGCTCGCCTAACCCGTCCGCCGGGATCCGTGGTTTTGCTTCTTCGTACGAGAGCAAGCCTGGACCCCGTCAACGCATGAGATTGATGCCCGTACGAGTACCTGTACTTGGTCAGCACCGTGCCCGCCTGGCTGGCACCTCAGGCACTGAGCAGAGCAAGCCCCAGGCCAGAGAGCAGGGATCCGGCTATAGCACCTGCTGTAGGAGGTAGTCGAGCAGCAGAGTGGATGCGTGCGGCTGCCTGGTCGCTCATGAAACGCTCGCAGTGCTCGTGCTTATTATCCGACCTCTCCCCCAACTCCCACACCCGCCTTCTGCCTCTGCTTCTGCTTCTTCCTCACCCTCACGCCAGGCTCAGCCGCATAACGCTCCTTTCCAGCCTTTGCCCGCCAGTCATTCCTTTGTCTTTCTACGACAACCCACACTCTTTTTTATTTTTAACCTTCTTCAGTCCTTCCTTCTCCTTTCGAAAATCCAAGTATCTAAAAAAACCAAACCAAACAAACCAACCGCCAAGATGAAGTTCACTCTGTCTGCCTCTGCCTTCCTGGCCATGGTCGCCTCGGCCCTCGCCCAGACCGCCGACTTCGACGCCATCACCAACCCTAGCCCCAACGAGGTCATCGCTGCCGGCCAGGCCCTCACCATCGAGTGGTCTGCTCCCGCCAAGTACGCCGCTGGCACCGTCTCCATCGAGCTGATCGGTGGCCCTACCCAGGCCACCCAGCAGATCCTGGCCACCATTGCCAGTGAGTTTGAGCCCTCTTCATTCATTGAGATTCTCATGTCAGTCGCTAACTGAGCCCAACAGCCGGTGTCAAGAACAGCGCCAAGAGCTTCACCTGGAACGTTGACTCTGCCGTTGCCGGCCAGAACTTCTACGGCTTCATCTTCCGCCTCGAGAGCGACCCCAACGTCTTCCAGTACTCCAACCCCTTCCACATCAAGGCGGCTGAGGTCCAGTCCAGCTCTTCTACTCCCGCTGCTCCTGCCAAGACCTCCACCTCTGGCAGCTACGGCAACCTCCCTCCCGCGGACACTACCACCGTCACCACCTCCACCGGTGTCAAGACGGTCACTCTGGCCAGCCAGTCCAGCAGCGAGGCTCCCGTTGTCACCACGCCCGTCTACTCTCCTCCCCCGGCCGTCACTGATGTCACCGTCGTCCTGAACGCCACCACCACCGTGCCCTGCCGCAACTCCACCATTGCTCCTCCCACTCTCAGCGCGCCCAGCACTCTCCAGAGTGCCACCCGCCTGCCTATTCCTCCTGTCAGCTCTCCCGTCTACGTTCCTCCCGGCCAGACCGTGCCCAGCACTGTTGCGGCCGCTCCCTCTGCTCCCTCCAGCCCTGCCGTCTCTGCTCTGCCCCCTCTGCCCACCAGCGCCGGTGCTCGCGTCGGCGGCAGCTCCCTGGCCCTGGTTGCCTCTCTGGTCGTTGCTTACTTTGCTCTGTAAGCGGGAGATGATGAGATGCTGAAGATGTAATTTTGGGCTTGGGGATCTTTCTTAACCGGCTTGTGGTTTGACGCCAGACTTGGTTTACTTTACAGTTTGCACATATTTTCTATTTGCTTGGAAAAGGAGAAGAAGATTGGTTCCGGAATGAATCTATCTAGATTATAAAGCGCGGGGCACGACGTCTGTTTTTTTCACGGAACCATGTCGTTTTCATTGTAGGATATTTTGCGCCTGCGTGTCAATAGATTTGGTTTCTTCTTAATTGATAATGATTCACGATCATGCGGTCTCGTAAGTTTTGGGGAAACCGCCGACTCTTTGCTGCGATCATCTCAATTCCGGACGGCATGGACCAATGACGTCCGTCGATGCCAATCTGGATTTCCCAGGGCGGCTGTAAGCGACGATCATTTTCTCTCCCCCCGGTGATGAGACATGGGGAGCCGCTGGACTAAAACGCGTGAACATGGGGGGGTTGGGAAAGATGGGTTCAAGTTTGGCAATTGATCTGCAGACGGTGCTCATGACGCACGATGTTGAGACATATACGCTTTTTGCTGAAGATGTGGGAAATCACTTGAACTAGTAGTAGATTTCTACAGTACGGTAGTTAAGTTACTACTACTAGCTAGGTTGTTGGTAGTGTGGTGAGGGAGACATGTCTCACAGTGCAAAGGGAGTGCTACCTTATTCTCCCTTGCTTCTAATTCTTCCGAGTTCTCCATCTAGTACTGGTACTTGGTCATCCCCCTTTTGATGAGTACTGACCTGCCCTATGTGGTTTAAGGCTGGAGCTGTGCGCATTGAAGGGTTGAAATGGCGACGTTGTAGAAAGGGGGGCGAGAATAGAACGTATGGACTTATTTTTGTCTTGAGTGAAAGAAAAAAAAGAAGATACACCTTATTTGAATCCTTTTTCTGCTTTGGAAAATATGTATGTTGCTTAATTTAGGTGAGGCTTTGGTGTGAGGCTGGATTGCTGGGTTTGCCTTGTTTGTGTGGATCGTGGCTTTGTGTCTGATGCCGGTGTGCTTATTGCCAGTTCTAATTTGGGATTCACGTGGACATGACATTTCGTCTGCATGCAATTTACGCATACGGGGAAATATGTGAATAGCAATAATAGACAGTGAATAGTGATATATACAACATGTGTTGGAGGAAGAGTGTCAGATGTCATTCGGGCTGAGAGTGTGCCTCGTGATGGAAGAGAGCAATGAAGGGGGTTAGGATACACCTCGTCACTAGGCCAAAGAGTATGTAGGTAGCCTATCTTCAACTGGAACCATGCCAGGCCGTCAGGCGCTAGCTCTACTTGATCATATATCAAAATTCAATCTATTGAGTCGACGCCTTGGGTAGTACCTTTTTGCCAACTTTGAGAAGGCAGTGCGAGTGCCGTAGCTCTAAATACCTAAGCTACGTTGAAACGCAATGAGAGGGGGGACACCAGGTGAAATCTGGCGAGATCACGATTGATAACATCCTATGGAGTTCTTTGTACATACAGACGAATAGGTCACTCAGCCTGATGAGAAAAGATGATTTGTCTTACAGCAAGACGACACATCGGATGACAAACAATGGGCTGGTGGAGGGACTGGAATGCTTGGAGATGCCCCGCGTGTTCGTCTCCATCAGGCTCCATCTCTCCACAAGCCTGAATGAGTACATCGTATCTATATTACGAAAGTGATCGTAGCTTGGTGACCCCAATATCTCTGAGGCATTTCATTCAAGCCAAGTGTACCCTGACGGCCAAGCGTAGAGTCAACCGCCTGGCTTTTGTCGTTGGTTATCTATCAGTATGTATTCGTGAGCTCCAATAGCTTCAATTTTGGTCGTCTTCAAAGCCCCAAGAATGATCCTCGGCACTAAGCCGTAACCGGCAAGAGGGGCAGTGAGCGCCGACTGACGGAGCAGAAGCCTCGATTTTTTTTTTCCCTCTCTCTCTCACATGTTGGCGAGACACAATGACAGCCTCTCGAGCAGAGTTGTTCCGTCTCTCGAGCGCCGCCCATCGCCCGTCTTGATTGCAAAATCTTGCAAAAGTCCATTGGACATTTCTCCTCTGTATGAGCGCCTGTTCGATTGGTCCTGCATGCATGGAGCCTGTTGCGCTGATGTCATAAGGGTCGCATTCTTTTCCAACTCCGACTTTTGGTGGGGTCAAAAGAGTCACATAACGTCTCCTTCATCTGCTGTGCATCCCGCCCGAGGTGAGCAGTTCTCCAAAGGCTGCGCAAGTTACTCTACAGTATACTGACCGTAGCAATTGGTTTCTACAGTAGACTCGCCATGTCGTCCCAAGAAGCTCCCAAGACCTGCAAGGTCATCACGGCTGAAACTATCGCCAAGAAGCTGCTGCAAGAGGTCAAGGACACCCTCGCCAAGGTCCAGGACGCCGGCAGCCCTGCCCCGACCCTGGTGGCCTTCCTTGCGAACGACGACCCTGCCGCCGTCAAATATGCCGAGTGGTCCAAGAAGACGTGCGAGGAAAAGTGAGGAAAACCATGTCGAATTCTCCTACAACAAGTGGTACTGAGTACTGACAACCATCTTCAAAGTGGGTTCAACTTTGAGCTCCGCGTCGTCGACAAGGAGACCGTCGAGGAAGAGATTATGAAGGCCAACGAGGACGATGCCGTCGACGGAATCATCGTCTACTACCCCATCTTCCCGGGGAACCCCACCAAGGACAAGTACGTCCAGGAGACGGTTGACCTGTCCAAGGACGTCGAGGGATTGCGCCACATCTACCTGCACAACATGTACTACAACATCCGATTCCTGGATCCTCCCGAGAACAAGAAGAAGTCCATTCTGCCCTGCACCCCCTTGGCCGTGGTCAAGATCCTCGAGCATCTGCAGATCTACAACCCGATCCTCGCCTACGGCAACCGGCTGTTTGGCAAGACCATTACCGTCATCAACCGGTCCGAGGTCAACGGCCGCCCTCTCGCGGCTCTGCTGGCCAACGATGGTGCCACGGTCTACTCGGTCGATATCACCGGCGTGCAGCTCTTCACCCGAGGGCAGGGAATCAAGAAGCCCCGCCACCAGGTCGAGGACAAGGAGGGCTGGGGCCTGGAGCAGTGCCTGCCCTTGAGCGACGTCATCATTGGAGGAGTGCCCAGCGAATCCTTCAAGGTGCCGACGGAGCTCATCAGGGACGGTGCCGTGTGCATCAACTTTTCCTCTTACAAGAACTTTGACGGAGTTGCCGTCAAGGACAAGGCGTCCATCTATGTGCCGTCCGTCGGAAAGGTCACAATCGCCGTTTTGCTGCGGAACCTTGTTGTAAGTCTATTTGCTCTCTTATCGGAATCGAAGTGGAATTTGGCAGCTAATTGAACAGCGTCTGGTTGCGAACCGCCCTTCCAAGGAGAGCGCGGATAAGAACACCATCCAGGCCCGGACCGAAGCCTTTGCCGACGATTGAGCCGTTCCGACAGGTCCAAGACAGCGGTCATAGAAGAGACCAAACTTGTTTTCTATCTCCTTTTGATTACGTTTTAACAACATCAAACAAGCTATGCAGGGGGCTCGCATTGTTTGATCCTCCGGGGCAGAAAGATAAAACAAAACAGAACAAACATGGCTAGTCGATCTCGGTCCACACTCCGAGGCAAGCTGGATATTATTTTGTACAAGGATTTGCGGAAGATTTTGAAGGGAAACTTAAAAAGAGGCGACAAGGCATTCGATAAAGTCAAGATCTCCATAGAACAGTTGGAAGCATCGCACACAAGAACCTATAAGAAGTACTGCAAGCATCTGTACCATTCTTTGAAATCCCACTCAGTGCATCTGGCTTCACGTCACGAGGCTGAAAAAACTTTCACGGGCGCTTTTTCAAGAGCCCGATGCCGGGGTACTATGAGTTACCACACGCGATGCGTCACAAGAGCAGATTTCAATAGAAAAGATGAGAGGCCTCTTGCAGAAGGTAAAAAAAACAGTGTGTGGGGTGGAGCGAGATGATGAAGTGACGCGGCGCTGCAAACGAATACTAGTAACGGCAATCAAAACTTTTCGCGTGACAAAGATACATACGGAGACGACATGGGACTGCGGAAGAAGTTTGGTGTTGTTATGAAGCGTGTTGACAAAGGGTCGGCTGTTGCTGTACCGTATCTGCTTGTGATGTCTCGTGAGTTTTGTTCTGTGTCTTGTTTTTTCCTGCCTTTGTTGTTTGATCCTTGCTTGCGGAGCAATAACACTGCCCTGCTTAGGTACCTGCAGATATGTACTCTCTACCCCGTGCAGGCTCAGGTCCTTGCAAGTAGTAAGTAGTAGGTACGTAGTACTACTTCGTACAGCAGCAACCATCGGGACACGATAGATTGGCATCAAGGGCCAATCGCATCTCAAAACAAACACCCGCTCCCGCACCGAGGCATTCAGAAGTGACGAGTCCCCTTGTCAGCTCAGGCACCAGTGGAGACACAAAATTCAGGTACCGCAACTCGAAAAGTGGCTAGCAGGTCGATTGCCGGGGTTGTGGGTGGTGGGAGGAGACATACATAATACGGGAAGAGCAGAGTAGGTATTACTAGAGCAGAGCAGGGCAGCGAAAAGACGAAAGTAAAACGGGGACCCGGAAAAAAAAAAGAAGAAGAAGAAGAAGCAGAGAGATTACGAGCGTCCGGGTAAGATTATGCAGCCCTCCACCCGCATTGACTGAGGGCACAGTAATACAGCTTGATACGAGGAGGGGCAGGCTGTACCTTATGTAGTAGGTAGGTAGGTTTGTTTGTAGTATCGTGATTCTTCAGTATCATTCTAGGTGCTACAGGGTTATCGTGTCACCAGTGAAGTAGAGGTTGCTACTAGTTGTAGGTAAGGTAAGGCGTGTAAGTGTGAGGAGAAGGGTAGGTAGGCGGACGGCAACGGGAGGTTATGTGGTTGTTTGTATTACAAGCGGGCGGACCACGGATGTCTTGACTCTTGGTATTACTACCTTACTACTCGGGTTGCTGATGAGGGCCCGTGGCTCTTGGGGACTTTGCGCTCGTGCGCCGGGTGACCTAACCAAAGGTGGTATCGAGGACGACCTGTCACCGTAAACCGCACGCCGCATCACATTCGATGCTATTTCGGATGTACGAATGAATGAGATGGACTGCGGTGACTGTTGGTGGCGTCAAACCTCCATTCAGACCTGGCGGTACTTATGAGGTAGTGTTGCGAATCCGGAGTGACAAGCATGTCCGTCTGTCTGCATGTATGCATGTCGTGATATGGGGGCGGATGTTGCTTAGGTAGGTAGTTTATATTAACCGGCCGCCTGCAGCCGGCATCACGCGCATGCACCCGTCCGACTACTAGATACAAGCAGCCTTTGTGAGCAAGTCGTTGCATCCGTTGGGTCGAGGCCAAGGCTGACCCTTGATGGTGTCTCGTAATATCTCCGCTGCCAATGGCACGAGGCGCTGTTGCTGAGACACGAACCAAGAAAAAAACACATGGCAGTCTCATCCAGTGCGGGCAATGCTTGGCTAGCTTGCTTGCTTGCTTGCTTGAAACCAGGACCTCCGGCAATGCGCGTGCTCTCTCGCCATCAGCATCACCATCGTCGTGTTGTTTGGCAGAGATCATCAATTTCCACGCATGAAGCGCAAGCGCAGCGCCGGCGCCTCCTGATTGGACACCCACGCCTTCGCCCAGCAAGTACCGCCGTGTAGAGGCTGCGCATCCGGCCCCCAGCCTAGCCGCCTTGGGCCCGGGTCCGCCGCGCTAAATCGCCCTAGGAGAGGCCCTGTTGCCCCTGTTCCACCCAATCTCCCTCCCCGAGTGTCCTCTTGCGGCTTCGCTGCCTCGTCCGCGTCGAGTACCTGCGAGTACCTGCGAAGACTTGGTGCATGCTCATGCTCTGATCCAGGCACAATCACTCAATCATCAACCTGTAAGGCGGCCCGAGCCACGAAGCCGGTGGCCAGCCAAGAAGCGCAGTTTTCTGCTGTCTTCGGACAGCCTCGACTTGTTCTGTTTCCGCACTCACACTTTGTCCTCTTTTCCCGCCCTCCCCCATCATCTGTTCCTCTCGATACTTCTGCTGTGCCTTCTTCCGCTGTGCTCGCCTCGGCTGCTGCGATCCGCAGAAAACAAGCGATCCTGATTTGATACCTGGTTTAATTTACTCGTACCCCAGGCTCTTGAAGCCTTTCCCCGAAATCCTGTCGCCCGATCCACTGTCGCTCCTTTCTTGTCTCGTGGCGCGCCCGATCGATCTCGCAGAGTTTTGAATATCCCACGCTCCTTGCTGTCGTTTCTCGCCCTTTCTCTTCCCACTTCTCTCGCAGATACAACTACAAAGCAACGATAATACGCTCGAGCGACAGCCCTTTGGCTCTCTTCTCCGTTACCGCTTTTTCCGTCCTCTGGATGCAACTTGTTGGGCGCTTGGACCGCTGGGTTTCCGCATCTGCCTTGCCCCGGAGCTCGCAAGGATAAAGAGAGCAAAGGGGACCAGACGAGCACAGCCGAAGCAGCAGCAGCAGCAGCCTTTCCCGACTCTCGAGCCTCGCCACAGTCACCGCTGAGCCGCCGTGACGATGCCGTCCATTGCCACGAATCGCTATGACAACCAGCAGGAGGCTCGCGGCATGGCGGTTCCGTACCCCCAGCCCGCGTCTCCCACCTTGACCAACCCAGACATGATTCTGCCCGACTACGACGGCCCCGATCCGTACGACAGCCGGCCGTCCACGGGCCCGTCGCTGTGGAATAGCGGCCATCACATCGAGGACGGCTTCCAGTTCGGCCAGGAATTCCACGCCAACCCCGACCCTCTGTCCACGCGCATCATCTACGGCAACGGGACCATGCTTTCGGACATTGGCGAGGTCACCGAGGTGGAGAGCGTCGTTGGGCGTGTGCCCTCGCGGAATGCCTCGAAGCGCTCGACCCACAGCTCGGGCGACGAGGGCCCGTTTCGAGCGTCGTCGCTGACGACGGGGAAGAAGTTCATCCAGCAGCGCCTTCAGCAGCAGCGCCAGCACCAGCACAAGCATGGCGAGCGCAGAATGTCGACCGACTCTACCAGCACAGTCGGCACGCACGACGGCGGCGCCTTTGTCGACTTTGACGACACTGCCAGTCAGGGAGGCGACAGCATCTTCCAGGGCGACGACGAGGAAAGCGTGGCGTCTGCCTACGTCGAAGGCACGGCCGTCGCACACCACCTGCGCGCCTACGATCCCATGTCCGTGAGGAGATTGAGCGATGACGGAGCTTCCCTGAGCCAGCGGGCAGAGCAGATCTTGGCCAACGCCAAAGCGAGGTTAACTGTAAGCTCAGCATGAGCAATGATGCTCGTTCCTATGAACGTGAGTGGAAACTGACAAAACGTTTAGCACATGGAGGACAATCTTACCCGAGCGAGGACCTTGAGCTACTCATCTGTGTCGGATACCTCGACTCCTTCACCAACCACGACGAGGGCTCCTACGTCCCTTCGCAGGCAGGGAATCACGCCCTCTCCGACGAACCCTTCCAAAGCTACGAATGGAAACGGAGCTGCCCTTGGAGCCTCCTCTGGGGCACAGCACTTGTCGGGCTATCCCCAGCGCTCTGCGAGTGCCCTCGGTTCTGCCGGTGGCTATCGGCGGCCCCTGCCTACATCTAGAAGTATGGACGGTCTGGGCGGCGCGTCAGCGCAAGGTGCCCACGGCCACTTTCAGTATTATCAGCTGGACCACAGTTCGGAGACGCTGGGCGAAAACGGAAATGCGGCTGGTATAGACGGGAAGTGGAACGGTTCACGGACAACCACCCTGGCGAGTCCCACGAGGGGGACGGGCTTTTCCGACTTGGGACTGACTCGGTCTGCCTCAGCATCGCAGATGCGTGATCTACAATATCAACTGAAGGGCTTGAAGGGGAAGATCTCGAGCTTGAAGGAACAAGCAAAAGCAGACAGCATGAGGCGTCGCAGCCTTCAAAGCCTCCGCATGCCGAGCCCCTTTACCAATGCCACCTGGGACCCGAATCAAGCAGAGTCGCATGCTGCCCATAGCAGCAGTGATGAGTACTCCTACGGGAACACTGATACGAGCGATAGTGACCATGATCGGAAGCAAGTCGAGCATGTGGCTGAGATTATCGAAGAAGTGGAGGAGGAGGAGGAGGAGGAGGAGGACCAGGACCAGGAGGAGGAGCAGGGGGTAGAGGAGGAGATGCTGGTGCAGGAAGAGGAAGAAGGCGGAGAAGGAGAGGGAGAATTAGAAGAGGGCGTCAGGGTGCACTACGAGTATCCGCAAACGCCCGAGCCGCAGGAGGATTATGAAGACGACCCCGAGGAAAGCGAAACTCCAAGAGGCCGAGCCCTGGCCAGCCCGCTGGAAACGAGCCAGCAGGCAACAGTCAACGGCATTCGCAGCTCTTCACCGGCCGAGAGCGTTGCGACCGAGTACACCGAAGCCGAGTCGAGCCCCCAGTCCCCCCGAGATGGCTACGGCAGCGAAAGCGAAGAGTCGCTGTATCACGAACCCTTCGAGGGCCCCATCTCTCACGAGGATCGAGAAGACGTCTTCGACTACGAGCACTCTTTCCTGTACTCTTCCATACCTGCGGCTGGGCGACGATTGCGCTCGGAAAGCGTGAGCTCGGCGAGCTCGGCGGAAACCGCTCGCGGCCCAACGTTGTCTCACAAGCGGAGCGCTAGTTCGGACTCGACCAGTTCTGTAGACACGTTTGCCACGGCCAACGAGAAGATTGTGAGTCGCAGTTCAACCGCACTGTCCGGGTACAGGGTGTACACTGCGGCCGATTTGTTCAAGGATGCTCGTCACAAACACGCGAGCTCATTCCGAGCCTCTTCAGCCGACAGCGATCGAACTGCTTCCACCCAAGGGACGCATCAGCGGAGCAGCACGGCGTCGATGGTTCGGCCCGTGAGCAACGCCTCGATCAAGACTATGCACCGACCCTCGTATTCGTCATTTGACTCGGTGGGGACGAACCGGAGCTTCCCGCTCGTCAACAAGGCCAAGCTTAACGGCGGTATCTTGACGCCTGGCGGCTCCCCTGATCAGGCCAGCAAGCGACTTAGAGACTCGCTGTTGACGGACGCCTCGAGCCTCTACTCGCAGAACAGCAGCAACGGCCGAGGTGGCCAGTCACCGGCGCTTCAGGTTCTGTCCAAGGACGTCCAGCAGACAGTGGAGCGAGTGGTGGCAAGCCTGGGCAAGTGTGTGCTGGCGTTGGGCGAAGCGGACGGGACCCATCCCGGTGGCCATGAGCTGTACAAGCGGAGGATCGAGGCGGCCCTACGCGTCCTCGACGGAGAAGTTGAGATTCCTTGAGCAGATGGAACTTTTTTTCTGGAGGCCTTGGAATATGCCAGCTCAGGATATGTACGAGGAGCTGAGCTGAAAGGTGTACTGCCTGATAATGGGAGACAGAATGATGGGTGGGAGGCAGGGGAAGTGGACAAACTATGATTTTAATGCCCATCCGACGCCTTTTCTTTCTATGGCGCGGATGCTCTGCCCTTTCGATACCCCTTTCTATTCCCCCTTTTTTCTTTCTTTCTAAGTTTTATGTAATTGATGCTTTTCCTTTGTTTCGGCACTTTTGCGAGACTGACATGTCCGTCAAGCGATTTGCTCTTGTTTTGCTTTTGGGGGAGGGGGACTTGCCTTGCTTTGCTGAGATGAAATGGCGACGATGACACGACAGCGGCGGGAGGAATTCTGTCTTTTTTCACACAAGTACTTGGGATAGCATATAGAAAAGAATAAGTGCTGAACAAGTTTGTGCGATCTGTAGTGTTTCCTTGTTTTTTGTTATGGTTGATAGAGCCCCTTGTATGTAATAAGAACTGGAAATGGTGGAGAGACGGCCTTCGGGGGCGGCAAAGAGCATCACATGCAAACGGGCTAAATTCGCGCCATTGCAGCGGGCTGGATAGAGGAGAGCGGGGTCCTCGAGCAGTACTAGAGTATTGCGTACAGAGCAAGAGGACAAGAAGAAGAATGAAGAAGAAGAAGGCCAGCAATACGACGATACGTACAAAACGTGTGATGAGAGGAACTGGCTTTATCTGACAGACATACACCGTAAAATGACAACATCAACTGTTCATGAAAAAAGTGCTACTACTACCCCAGTAAAGCCCATTCACGCACAAACAAGCCCTTGCACCGTATCTTATCGCAAGAAGACCCCTGCCACAGCACCACCCCCCATCTCTGTCGAAACTTTGTTTTGTTTCGTCCACATGATATACCCGTAGCACTTCCATTCCCTTTTCTTCTTTTCCTCACCCAACCAGGACGTTTCAGCTCCTATTCATCCGATCGAAACGCTGCGAAACCCGATTCTATTGGTGTTTCCGCGTTGCACAAGCTGCCGGACGCGCCTTTTGTGTGTTTTGTTCGCGGGTACCTTTTTGTTTGGATCGATAACAAAGCAAACTTGGAGGGGAAGAAGGGAAATCGATTACTACTCTCTTCCTACTCTTCTTTTAGCTGTCCGACGTCGGAATCTGAGCAAAAAAACACTGCAGAATCATCGACAAACGACCTTGCGCTTCATTCTTTTCGCGCCGACAAGCGAAAACGCGGACGATCAAAAGCGACGAAACACGCAACATTACACAACGCGCGGCGCAGCGAATAAAACAACCCCCCAAACACCAACCAAGCAACTCTCCAAACAAAAAATTCAACCCACCCCAAACAAAAATCAACAAAAAACCATGGACGAATCCACGACGCACCTCCTAACCTCCCTCCTCCCCCCCACCGTCGCCACCCTCATCGACACGCACATCCTGTCCCCGACGTCCCCCCTCCAGGCCCTCAAGCGGCACCTCCTGCTGCAGGCCCGCCGCCTGCAGCCCGCCGTGCAGCCGGTGCTCGACCGCGCGCTCGAGCAGCTGTCGTCGCACCAGGCCGCGCTCGACGTGCTCCTGCCGCTGGCCACGGTCGTCGCGACCGTCGTGGTGCTCAACTGGGTGCGCCGGCTGGTGCTCTGGTGGACGCGGCTCGTGTTCCGGGCCCTGTTCTGGGCGCTCGTCGCGGTGTTTGCGGCGTGGGTGTGGAATCGGGGGGTTGTGGAGAGCGCGAGGGATGCGGCTGTGCTGGGGGCCAAAGTTGCGGGTTATGTGGCTGTGTTGAAGGACGTTTGGGTGGATGAGTATAAGAGGTATGAGGGGCAGCAGGCGAGTGGGAAGTGGGATGAGTATTCGGCGAGGAGGAGCGGTGGCGGGCTGTATGAGCAGAGGCGGTGATGGGGGGAGGAGGAGGGATGGAGTACTGGGTTTTTTTGTCGTGGGACGTGATGTGCTGGATGAGGGGGGGAAGCGATGGGCGACGAGCGAGAGAGGAGGAGGAGGAGGAAAATTATGGCGATTATGGCGTTCAAGATACGAGACATGATGTATGGGATGTATATGATGCGATGGGAATCATGGGAGACTTACGTCAAAGCCTTGGAAGGATACGATACGCTTTTTACTGGTATCTTCGTCACTTGTATTGTTTTGGATGCATGAATGAAATGATATTTCTTTTCTTTTTTCAAACATTTCCATCCGTTTGCTCGACGAAATCTTCTACGAGAATCGGAGCCAAACCGACGACTTTTTTTTCTCCCTGCTATTTAAACCACCCAAAACGCCGTCGCTATGCATTTTTCCTACCAACCAGAGAAGCCACTGATTATATCTCCTCTAAACCATTGTGCTGCTTTTTGCGTAGCATAACTTTCCTTGTCGTTCAGTCCTCCTCTTCGTCGTAGTCACGCTCGTCATCGGGCTCTTTTGGATCCTGCGCTTCGTGATACTGGATACAGTCGTCAATGTGACTAAGGATCCCCGCAACGCTGTCCTCGTTTGTCACGTCCAGCCGCAGGTAGTTAACCATGCTGAAGCTCTCGATGAGGCCGGCCACGGCTCTGTTGAGGCGGCGGAAGCTGGCGCCCTTCATCACCTGGCTCTTGTCATCGGGCGGGACGGATTCGTCATCCTCCCCTTCGGGACCCTCGGTTATCCTCCTGCTGCGCTCCAGGGGGTCGTCATCCAGAAGCGCAACGTCGGGCGTGATGAAGCGTTTCAGATCCTTCTTCTTGACCTGGTCCTTGATGAGGTCCATCTTGGACAGCACGTTGATGTGGGGAATCTCGAGCATGAGCATGGCGCTCATGGCGCTAAGCGTACCGGCGAAATACTTGGCCCTGTCGACGACGAAAGTAGCCTCGAGGAGGTAGACGGCGGCGAGACGGATGTCGAGAGCGCCAGACTGCGTCAGGAACTTGACCAGCCTTGGCAGAATGGGAATGTGCGTGTACAACTCGATCTGGCCGGGCATGTCGATGATGATGAGGTATTCCTCGGTGAGCGAGTCCAGCGCTTCCGTCAGCCAGTCCAGGTTCTCCATGAGGAACTCGAAGCAGTAGATTAGTCCGCCGTTGGGCCCCAGGCCCAGCTCCTCCATGGCATCTTGGAGGGAAATGAGCTCCTTGATGTCGAGGTCGGGCGTGTGCTCAAACGTCTCGGCGGCGGGGTCGAGGTTGATGTAGAAGGCCGAGCGGCGGTTGAGCTGCAGGTGGGTGATGAGGGCGGCGCAGAAGGTGGACTAGATGACATTTCCGCAAGTCAGTTGTCTGGCGTCTCTGGTGTAGCAATTCCGTTCGCAATGCCGTTCGCGCTGGGCATATCAATAGCAAGAAGCTGTCGCAAAAGCACATCATCGCACGTCATAACATCCACTGCGTCTGTGTCCTTATCGCCGCTGCTGGAGCAAGAGACGAAAGAGGCCCTGCGCTTAGGTGTTTCACCGGCCGGGATAAGGATCGGAGGGATTCCCCGTAGCGACGACGGATTACCAGCATCGGCATCAGCAGCGTCATCCGCATCAGCACAGCGTCGGACATCGGCATTCGTGAACCACCAAGCATCAAGGCATTCCCATTCTTCTCCCCCCCCCAGTCAGGCGTAAGCGCGCATTAGAAGCACTCAGCCAAAGCAGACACGACGACGAAGACGAAGACGATGCTGAACAAGACAAGAGAAAAGAAGAAGCATGCCATCCATACCTTGCCCGCCCCCGCGGGGCCCATGATCATGGCGCCGAACTTGCTCATGGTGTGCGGTTGCTGGCGGCTTTATACACCATATATGTCCCTCGGAGACCGTGTGACCCGTCTGACGAGTGATGCAAGGATCGCGGCGACTTGTTTGGTCGTCTTTGCCGGGTTTGTTTGGGTAGGAAGAGAGAGAGGTGCTGGTGGGATTGTTGGCGCTGCAGAAAAAAAGAAAAGAATTATTACGTATACAAAGCTTCAAGGCCCAACCGAGCTAAGATCGAGGCCCTTCGCATCTGATTGTGTCGTTTTGGGTTTGGCGCGATTGATAACCACCAGGTGGGCAAAGTGGGGTCCGCCCTCTAGGAAAACGAGAGAGAAGGAGCCAGAGCCAAAAGGGAAAAAGGTACTGGTGGCAACTGCAAGTTGTAACGGTCAGGGTCCTCCGTCCGTGGGCTGGTCGGATAAGGTGGTAGTACCTTAGTTACAGGTACCTGACAATAAGAAAACCAAAAAGGTCCCGAATGGGGGCCGCAGCACATGCACGTTGCAGCAGCGCAGCAGTCAGATTCGTCGGCGGCAAAAAAAAAGCTCGGTGCTGGCTGTGACTGTGACCCGCGAGGGATTCAGACGGGGTCCGCAGGACTTGGGGCCAGTAGACGATACTCGGAGTTGGACAACCTGCGGCCTGGATTGGCTGCGTTCCGCGTCGGGTGAGAATGCCAGAAGGACCTTGAACGCTGGTACAGGATACCTGGAGAGCCTGGAGTTGTCTCACCTTCTTCTAAGGCTTCCTCCCTCTCCTTCCGTGGCTTCCAAAGGAGTCGCTGCGCAGCATCAAATGCAAATGGCGGGTTGGCGTGAGATGGCGCAATTTCTGACATGCACCGCATGCTACGTAGGCCGCCATAGAGGGGTACCTGGCTGCCATGGGGCGAGACGGCTCATGCAACAGGTCGCTCTCTAACGCACGCCATCCCAGGTACGCGTGTTGGGCGGCCCTTTTCTGGTTGGCGCCGCGTTTGGCTCCGAGTAGGAGTCACACCAATCCTGCGTGGAATTGGCACATGGCAATCTATCACGATGATGGATTGTCGGGTTCGCATTGTCCTACCGTAAGAGTACATTCTCGTTATTACTTCGCGTCTAGTAGATGCCATTGAATCGTGCAAGGAAAGAGACGGCAATAGAAGAAAGAGAGCAAGATGGTTCGGAATATTATTGACCACCTTGTCGCAACGCGCGCATCATTGCTAGGACGACTTCTCGCAGCACCATCGGCTGCGGTAATTTGTTCGAAAGGACAGACACACCCCAGCACTGTTCGGATCCCTTCCCCCAGCTTCGCTCCGCGCAAAATCCCAACACAACAAACCATGACGGCCAGGGACTCCGGACTCTCTATCTAAGTAGTACTATCTGCGTAGTATCGTCTTCCTTTCTCCGGCGCGGCAAGCGGGGTGACCTGCCATCACATGCAGAGCCAGCAGCGACCCCTTGTACCCCGCGGTGCGAATACGAGGCGCAATTGGTGCATTTTACCCGCATCGCCATAGTAGTACTAAATTTTTTTTTCCTCTCCCAGTTTTATCTTATCCATGCCGTGCTTGGCCGCCCCTCTCCGACCGACCGTCGGGCCTAAATAAAAAGTCCAAGCAATCGCCAATTTTTTCTCTCACCCTTTTCCTTCCTCTCCAGCCTTTTCTCATCACTTTCTGCCAGCTCACCTCTTTCGCGTCGCCCCCAATCTCTCATCGCGAGCGATTTGTCCGTCCTCTTCTGCCTTGTTGATTCTATTCGTCTCTCTCTCTCACCTTCATCTACCCCTCCATCCTCACATAAACCGCCACAATGTCTACTCCCAACGGCGTTTCCAAGTCAGGAACTTTCCTGTTCACCGTAAGCAGCCCCTCCTCGTCTCTCCCTCCGCTGGAACAGCTCTCTCTGCCAATGGGCCTCGCAAAAGTCGACTGTTCAGCTGCTGACCTTGCTCTCCCAGTCCGAGTCTGTCGGTGAGGGTCACCCCGACAAGATCGCCGACCAGGTCTCAGATGCCATCCTCGACGCCTGTCTCTCCGAGGACCCCCTCTCCAAGGTTGCTTGCGAGACGGCCACCAAGACTGGTATGATCATGGTCTTCGGTGAGATCACCACCAACGCCAAGCTGGACTACCAGAAGATTGTCCGCAACACCATCAAGGACATTGGCTACGATGACTCCGCCAAGGGCTTCGACTACAAGACGCTCAACCTGCTGGTTGCCATTGAGCAGCAGTCGCCTGATATCGCTCAGGGTCTCCACCTCGACCAGGCCCTCGAGAGCCTCGGTGCCGGTGACCAGGGTATCATGTTCGGCTATGCCACCGACGAGACCCCCGAGCTCTTCCCCCTGACCCTGCAGCTTGCCCACAAGCTCAACGCTGCCATGTCTGCTGCTCGCCGTGACGGCACCCTGCCCTGGCTGCGTCCCGACACCAAGACCCAGGTCACCGTTGAGTACAAGCACGACAACGGCGCCGTGGTCCCTCTCCGCGTCGACACCGTCGTCGTCTCTGCCCAGCACTCTGCCGACATCACCACCGAGGAGCTCCGCAAGGAGATCCTCGAGAAGATCATCAAGACCACCATCCCCGCCAAGTACCTCGATGACAAGACCATCTACCACATCCAGCCCTCTGGCCTCTTCATCATTGGTGGCCCCCAGGGTGACGCCGGTCTGACCGGCCGCAAGATCATCGTCGACACCTACGGTGGCTGGGGTGCCCACGGTGGTGGTGCCTTCTCCGGCAAGGACTTCTCCAAGGTCGACCGATCCGCCGCCTACGTCGGCCGATGGATCGCCAAGTCCCTGGTCGCTGCCGGCCTCGCCCGCCGTGCCCTCGTCCAGCTCTCCTACGCCATTGGTGTTGCCGAGCCCCTGTCCATCTACGTCGACACCTACGGCACCTCGGAGAAGACTTCCGACGAGCTTGTCAAGATCATCCGCGACAACTTTGACCTGCGTCCCGGTGTCATTGTCAAGGAGCTGAACCTGACTCGCCCCATCTACCTCCAGACTGCCAAGAACGGCCACTTCGGCACCAACCAGTCCTTCACCTGGGAGCAGCCCAAGCCGCTCAAGTTCTAAGCGGTCAGCTGTGACTACTTGCACGCAGAGTATTCAACAATTCTCTGCATCTTGATTTAACGAAATGATGTGTTTTCTTTCCAGAAGAAAAAACATGTCGGTTTTTCATCAGGCACATGTAAGGCGGCGTACGGTTCTCAACGAAACCTGAGGGCTTTCACCATTTGGGATTTATGGGAAAGCGAGGCGGTTTCCGGCGTAAATTTTCTTCTTTTTTTCATCGATCAAAAAAAAGATGCGTATTTGTCATCTTTACATATACCAAGGGTCTTTGGGGGGTCAACGGGGGGCGTCTTTCAACAAAGACAAAAGTCTGGGATTATTTGCATAGACAGCAACAGGGTCACGTCTGCAAAGGAACGGTTACATGCACACACTTATGAGCTACGCTAATGATGGGTATACAACAAGAGCTGCACACCGGCGTTTTCGGGAACCAAGAAGAAGTTCAACATCTTTCTTCCCGATTTCTCTTGACCGAGCTGCTGAACATGCAAAGTCAGTTGTCGGGGTTGGAACAGGAGAAAGCCGGACTATTGGGCACAGAGTCGAGAGTTTTTTTGCTATTAGATAGAAGACTTGCAATAGACAAGCCCGATGCCAAGGCAAGCTATTTGTGGTCCTTTTGTGATTGTTTTGCTTCCCATTGCTTTGCCTTGTTCTAGCTGGTCGGCTTCGAACTGATGCAGTATCATGTTCTGATAAAATCTGAGAGAAGAGGCGATGTCGACAGCCAACAATCCCGCAGCCATGCCGAGCATTCTCACGCTGACTGCAGCCAAGACGACGATATCGGAATCCTACTGCAACATTTACTCCGTACCCTGTCGAGAAGAGTTCTGAAGAGAAAAAATCGCCGAATGGGTTACAGCGAGGAGATCCACCGTCCATGAACCGCGTGCTTTGATTACTCCGTACGAAGTTACCTTGACAACCTGGTAGTAGTAGTACATTGTGCGACAGAAGAGAAGCAAGAGCTGAAGAAGGTCGAATCAGGAACAATACGCCGAAAACAGGGCATTGTCGCTTTGCTTCTTGATGGGAAATAGGGGGGGGGGGGGGGGTCTGATCAGAGGTAGATTGATGAGTCAGTTGTGAGAGTAAGATGGGTATGGGCGTGCTACTTCTGTTCTTGACAGTGGGTTGGGACAGAGGCAATGGATGAGATATGCCGTCGTTCTTTTTCCCATGATGCCGCTATCATGGGCAGTGGATGAGAAGACAGAAAGAGCTGAGTGTGCGGTTGTTTTCAACATGCTCTGATCGGACTTGCAGGGCACACTGACTCATAATAGTAGCCGTTTAGTATATGATATTCTGGGGTTCTATCTACCCCATCTTACAACCTGATCCAAAGATGTAAGAGTGGAAGAGGAAAGTGACCAGGATCGGACGAAACAAAACTTGAAGCTTACGTGAGATATAAGGTACAGTGATATGGCATCCATCTTTCCATCTTGCAGTGCCCCATGCATCGCATCACCGCACATGGCAATATTAGTGTACCCTTGTTGAAATCCTCCGAGGTGAGATATGACTACTAGAGCTTTGCAATTACAACTACTACACGGAATACTGCGTGCGAATAATAACTCACGGAGTCCGGAGTTTCTTCCACGGAGCTGGAAAAAATGCACGGATGCCCTTACCTGCCTTGAACATCATTGACAAACAACATGGCATGGCATGCCAAACGCACGCATGCATGCACGGCACATGCCATTTCAGATCTCATCTCGCTTTCGGAGGTTTTGTTGCTTTGACAGTTTTCCTCTGGCATTTGAACTTTCAATAGTCCCGGGGGGGGGGGGGGGGGGGGGGCAGGCAGCGTGAAGCAAGCCGCAAAAAGATCAAAGCATCTGCAAGGGATGATGGAGTGATTGACGCTCTGTTTTGCTTGTTAGGGTAGGTAGTTCCGATTGGGCGGTTCGTA